AACTTCCTGCAGTGAGTTTTCTATTGTCACACGCCTCATGATTCCTGAAAAGAGGGGAGCCGCGTTGACATTGAGCTTTTTACCCACAGGGAAGGCAATGAGTACGTATTGGAGATCAAGAACATTGCCATGGAGGATGCAGCCAAGTATGCATGCAAATGCAACGACATTACAACTGTCGCTCAGCTATACGTGGAGGAGAGAAAGTACAACTACTACTTTAACCAAAAATTGCCAAAAACTGCCGAAGTGGTTCGGGGCAAAGATCTCACTCTCGAATGCTCTGTCTCCGATCCCCGTGCTCCCGTCTCGTGGTATCACAAGGGCAACAAACTGGAGGTTAGTGAACCTCATAATGAAGGGCCTTAACTTCCATGACGTTGACATGCCTCTTTATCCAGAGGTGGCTTCTTTGGGAATGAAACTGGAGCGAGGGGACACACTACTTACGCCTTCAGAGCACTGAGTCTTTCTTGAAGGACTAGGAGGCGGAGGCTGAGGCGCCCACGTAGCTAAACACTCTAGAAAGAGTTAAAAACGGAGAGGGCAAAATTGTTTTGAAACCCCCCTTTCAGCTTTCGGATTATGGAAGGGTTAAAATATTGCATTAGATAATGAAGGAATGTGGATGGCCCCATTTTATTAGGCAGATGGCTTGTGCACTCTGCTATCCTCTTTTCCGGTCAAAAGTCCACCCTCTTCATGCGACTTCGCGAAGAGCCGGATGGAGGGAGTGTGTGAGATTGTGCTTATTCCAAAGTGTTTATTGTACTTTAGACTACAGATGATGCCACAGGTGCATTAAAATTTCGGGATAAACTTTAGAATCTTTCAATACATTCAACGCAAATATTTAAGGTATTTTAAAAGCCAAATTTTGATGGGTTTAATTTGTTATGGTTCACTCATGAAGCCATCGCGGGGGTACTCAAGGTTGATTTCAGGATATGAGAAATGGAAGTGGCCTTCCTCCAAATGCCTAAAAGTGCTTGAAGGAGGACCGACTATATCAAAAGACGAATCCATGAGACGAAGTAACTTCTGCCTTTCAGTATGTTGCGGGAAAGATTGAACTAAAGCGACGGGAGAACCGATGTATCTTGAAGATATGCCGAGCCAAACCAGAAGCCGAGGGAGAGTACTGTTGTATGGTGGAAGGTGATGAAACCTTCGTAGATGTGGCCGTCGAAGATCCAGACTGGTTCTTCAACCGCGAGCTCAAACAACAAAACGCGTTGGAGACAGATCCAGTTGCTACTTTCGAATGCGAGGTGTCTGATCGCGAAGCCGAAGTTCAGTGGTTCAAAAATGATGAGGTAATTTATGTCATTGTCTGAGTCTTCAAAAGTATTTGGTAAGAAGAGTTCTTCTTGCCAAATGAATCTGACTTGCCTATGAGGCATAAAGTGTTGAGTTTCCTCGACCACTCTTTAGCCAATCGTTGCCAGTGACAAATATGAGATTGTTTCGGAGTCCCGACTCAAAAGAATCCTCAGAATCAAGAACATTGCCATGGATGACGATGCTACGTATACTTGCAAAGTTGCCAAGAAAACTACCTCAGCGCGACTGGTTGTCAAGCGTAAGTTTTCTGGTGGTTTCTATCAACAGCCTACTTGGTATCTATTGGCAACATTGTTTATCTTTATTGGAAACAGCGGACGTGGAGTTTAAGCAGAACCTCATCGATACGAATGGAATTGAGACCAAGAGTAAAGAATTGGTCTGCAAAGCGTACAATCCGAAGAAGTATCCAGTCAAGTGGTATAAAGACGGTGTGGAGATCAATTTCAACGACAGAGTTTCGACCAAAGAAGCCGAGGGGTCGCTATTCCTCATCATCAAGTCACTTGTGATGGAAGATGAGGGCGTTTACTCCTGTCGCATTGGTTCCCACGAGACCAAAGGTAGACTCGGGGTAGGTCTTTCTGTCGCAAAGCTGTCATCGTCTGCATTTTTGCCACCCACCTCATGCAGGAGGTTGATTTAAACGGCAGAAGAGCAGTTTTTGTTGAGAACTTGGTGGTTATTTCAGGTAACCGAGTGCGAGAAACCGCCGACAGTAGATCTCGCCAATTTCGATGACTACCTTAAACTCAAAAAGGGTGCCAACTTTGCGGCGGCTATACCCTTTAAAGGTGAGTCTCTATGTATCCTACCCTAATGTCCAAGTCTATCGCATTTTAGCGACAAATTCCATCATCTTAATCTCATTAGCATCTGAGTTATCTCGAAGGCGGTCACAATCCATGCAAAGCCAGGCCCACCTTTGCTATCACCACGCCCTGCAGCGTGGTGAAGGATTGAGGGTTTAGTAGCACTCGAGGCATAGTGAAGTAATTACAAGTCTTTTGTAGGTTTCCCCGTGCCTACTATAACTATTCTGCGGAATGGAGAGCCCCTACCCGAGAATGTGAAGCTGAAGGCCGTCACCAGAAGCGGTATGGTTAACATGAATCTGGACGATGCTCAACGAGCAGACGCCGGCAACTACACACTTAAGTTGGCCAACAGTATGGGTGAAGTAGAGGTGCCTTTCAAAATCGATGTCTACGGTATGTCATTCCACCTCAACCTCTAGACAACGCACAAATTTTTTGAGGAGAGGATAAAGAACTTTGTTGTTTTTGCTATGCCAGATCGTCCTAAACCTCCCAAGGCGCCATTGGACGTCTGTGAGTTGTGTGCAACGAAATGCACCCTCATGTGGGATCCTCCTGAAGATGACGGTGGACGTCCAATAACCCACTATGATGTTGAGGTGATGGATGCCACAGCAAAAGAGGACTGGAAACCACTGAAGAAGGTGAAGGAGTGTAAATGCGAGGTCCCTTTGAAGGAGGGCAATAAGTACAAATTTCGAGTTCGAGCCGTAAACGATCAAGGACCTTCAGACTACCTAGAGACAGAGAAGGATACGCTTGCTCATGATATTTGCGATCCCCCAGATCCACCTGGAAATCTGGAGATTGCTGATTACGACGAGAAACACGTGGATTTGAAGTGGGTAAAACCACGAAAGGAGAACGGAGCACCAGTCAAGAATTACATCATCGAGGGCCGAAAGCATCCTGAGGGAGCGTGGATGACGCTGCAGGAGACCAAGGAGACAAAGGCCTCCGTGCCGTGGAAAGAGGGAGAGACTTATGAATTTCGTGTTATGGCTGTTAACAAGGCGGGTAAATCCGCGCCATCCACTGCCACTGCGCCTATTCTGGCGAAGCCTCGCTTGTGTAAGTCATTCTTCCTTTGCCCCAACCACCGTATCCCACTTCTTATCTAGTAGTCATTCAGATTAGAGAGAATTTTCTTTCCGGAGGGAGACTTGGTGCCTATCGCTGTGAATAAAGTGGTCATAATATGTTCTATGGCCCCTTAAGGCCTCCCGAAGGTCATACAGGAGGGTTAAAGGCTACCAGCGTGAACCCAAGCAGGAGTGCAATCTTTGGAGACTTAAGTGTCAACCTAATCGAACTATTTTAAGACAAAATAATTAAAAACGATCGACTTCCCTTCCATCCAACTTCATCACTGGTTCCTTGTGGTACGGATTGTGCAATTTCCCTTCCTAGTGAAACCGTGGATTGACAAATCAAGGATCCAGGTCACCAAATTGAAGGTTGGACAAACATTCGAGCTGAACTTGCGCTACAGAGCGGAACCCGATCCCGAAGTCAAGTGGTTTGCAGGTGAAACGGTAAGAATTAGCCACTTTCTTCTCTTGTAAATTAGACGTACTAAAAAGTAACCCTCGAGTTGTTGTTCCATCCTCTTAAAGCCCATTGAATCGAACACGGAGTATCAGTTAATCTTCAATCATCGCGACACCACAGTGAAGGTGACCGATGCACAGAGGAAGCACACGCAGCTCTACAAATTGGTTGTCTCCAACGAAGTCGGTTTTGATGAGGCGACTCTTGAGGTGGTGGTGCTAGGCAAACCCAGCCGACCCACTGGTCCGCTGGAGGTCAGCGATATCACCAAAAATTCCTGTGTTCTAAAGTGGAAACCGCCTACTGACGATGGCGGTGAGCCTATTCAGTAAGTCTCACTTTTATTTAATCTTTCTTTTCTCTCTGTGGATTGATCTTAACCGCAAATTAAGTAATTCCAAGTCCTAAATAAAGCAGTACTAGGAGCAATCATCTCCACTCTACTACTCCAAGCGGTTACAAATCTGTTGAAAACCGATTCTGGGTTATACTAGCTGTGTGGGAAGGTGCAAACTTCGTCTGGAACTGTTAAGTACCTCTTGGTTGAGAGTTTGACAGCCATCTCCAATTTCGGGGTTTAGATCGCCGTATGTGTTCCTCAAGAGACTCATGATTCGGAAAATTTTCGACATTTCTGACATAGTAAATAATTTTCAGTAGAGGCCAGAAACAATCCCTGCCATCATTTCACGCCCTAGAATAATCTAGCATTCTAATAAAAAAAAAATGAGAACAGAATATGCTTTACTGCCACCATAATCTTTTTCTGTACATGATTGGAAAATAATTCCATCAGTCAGCAGTTAATAATTCTTTAAGCCCCTTGGAAATTCGCTATACTATTCCCTTTGTGCGCTTACAGATATTATCTAGTGGAGAAGATGGACATGAAGAAAAACCGTTGGGAGAAGGTGGCAGAAGTTTCACGCGGAACGACCTGCTCAGTTTCCAAGTTGGCGGAAGGCAACAGTTACCTGTTCCGCGTCTCTGCGGTATCCAGCCTAGGTACTGGTGAACCCTTGGAAGCCGATGCAGAGATTATTGCAAAGAATCCCTACGATGAGCCGGAGGCTCCAGGCAAACCAGAAATTGTGGACCATGACAAAGACCGCATAGATCTCCGTTGGGAGTCTCCGGCCTTTGATGGAGGTGCCCCTATCATCGGCTATCATGTGGAGAGGAAGGAGCTTAAGTCGAATAGGTGGGTGAAGATTACACTCAAACCAGTGCCGGATACGGAATACACAGATGGGTCAGTGACGGCTGGTCGTGACTATGAGTACCGCGTGATTGCCGTCAATAAGGCAGGCCCGAGTCCTCCCAGTGAACCAAGTGCTGTTGTCACGGCAAAGCCTAGTCGAGGTCAGTTGTAGTCATCTTCCAACTTTTTATTGCTCTTTATGGAATCCGAACCCTTGAAGATGGCGTAGTTCGAACTATTTATGCATCCATCCAGTGTTTAAATGCATTCCTAATCTTTTTCACTCTGCCCACAAGTCGGCAAAATTTTTTTTATTTGGAGAGCTTAAGTCCTCTACTTGCTCAATATGGTACTGCGTTTCTCTCTTCCTTGAATCAGTTTTGAAAATTGACTAATTTGACAAGATATTTTATCCGCTCTCACTCGCTGTCCTCAACGTCAAAGAAAATGTCTTCAATTTTCATTGACCTTATCGGTGTTTGTGACCTTTTACCTGACAAATTAAGGTCAATGTGTAGGGTCTAGGTTTTAGTCAATTTTAAAATAAAGTAGAAATAAGCAAGGTTATTTCCCTGTGGCAACGGTAGAGCAACGAAAAGTAGTGAGATGTGGCCATAAGAATTTGCTGCGGTCAGGGGGTACCCTCATACGGAATGAGGTCACCGTCAATATTTTCATGGAGTGGGTGCTTTTCATTGCCCTCACAGTAGTGGTTCGGTTACCTTCGTTAAAAAAAATAAACAGGATTTTTGAACCCCTAATCTACAGTACCACTAGCAAATGCAGCCCTTTGTCTGCCGGAACCCAATCAACTTGTCAAACTGTCAAACTTGATTTGTATGGTCCGGGGCCTGGTCACTCCCTAAAATCGGATCAGATGGTCGAAGTTAGTTTGATGAAGGATTACTGGAAGGCGGAAGAGGTGCCGATTCGATGGGAGGGAAAGCTGTTGCCCTTTCCCATCACAGTGCAGACTCTCCACCTTCGTGTGGGCGTGGTGTACGTGCGTAGACGTGTGTGTATGTGTGAACCCAGGCTGGCACCAGACCAATAAGATGGCAGATCGATTGGAAACAGGCAGGCAGACGCGATTCTTCAATGGGGGCAACTGGCGAATGTCAGCCAACATGTTGGCTCGGCTACCCTTGTGTACGCCTACACACCCAGACGTTTGGTGACTGAATTGACTGAGTTAAACAAAGCTGTGTCGTTTGTGAGGGTTTAACAGTCGACCGTCCCCTACTCGGTCGTGTAGGTTATAAGTTAGCTTCAAAACATCCACCCTGGAGCCATAGAAGGGGATGAATTCCGCTAGACTTCGAACCCCTCTCGTTCTTCTCCAGGAAGCTGGATAGGCGCCATCAACTGACTACTGACAATCAGTTGAAGGTGAAAAAGGTCGCCAAACTAAAAGGGGTTTATTACATTTAAACTTTCCTGGAGGAGGGGTAGTATCTTGTCTAAAGTTGGGTCGCTAGTGCTTCATACTCACCTAGCTACTGCTTTTTATACAGAGGAGCAACTGATTTGAACAATTACTATGCAGCCATCACCTATTCCCTCTTTCAGAGGCTCCAAAACTGGACAAGAATCGACTGCGCGATCTGCTCGGTCCACGCAATGAGATACGGTTGCGGGTCGGTGAGCCGCTGAGCATTCCTATTCCCATCAAGGGGGCGCCCAAACCCACTGTGACGTGGACTAAGGACGGCGGCACGGTGCCCCAGACTGCCAAAATCACCGATACTGAGGAGCTCACTGGATTGGACATTCCCTCTACGGTTCGTGGAGACAGTGGCAAGTACAAAGTTCACCTCAGCAATGACTATGGCGAGGATGAGGCTGACATCAGTGTCATTGTCATGGGTGAGTTCCACTCTGCACTGCCATTGCACGTCCTGGCAATATTGTCTTCCGGTAAAATCCATTCCTTCAATTATGTTCTTCGAGCATGTACAGGGGCAAATTTAGCCTCTGCATTCTCCTCGAAGACCTCACCATGCAAATCTAGAAGTAACTTGGTTCTCAATTCACATGAGGACTAGTTGTAGGGTTTCATCCTGGAGGCCGAAGGTCCGCTTAGCGTTATGAGTAACTAAAGCGACTTGAGTTATGCTGCATGACAACAGTAAAGTCTAGATTTGGGCGTCATCTTGCATCTATTTGAAAGTAGGATTCATTGGAGGCTGTGTATAAGACGATTCTGACGTATTTTTTTCTTTAATAGACAAACCAAAGCCACCCCGTGATTTGGAAGTGTTTGAAGTATTTGCCGAGCACTGCATGCTGAAATGGAAGCCGCCTGAAGATGGCGGTGGTACACCAATCACAGGTACTTGACTAACGTTACAAGTATGGCTCCATTTTCTCTAGTACCAAAGCTAAAGTCTCATTTTCTCATTTATGTTAACAGACTATATTGTTGAGAAATGCAACGACGCCACGGGTATCTGGGAGCCCGTAACTGGAATCATAAGAGACAATCAAGTCTTAGTCAAGAGTTTGGAACCAAATCAACTCTACCACTTTCGTGTCAAAGCTGTGAATAATATTGGCGAATCGGCTCCCGTCCAGACGAAGAACACGGTGCTCGCCAAGAATCCCTATGATCCGCCATCGGCGCCACAGGACTTTGAAATTGTCTCCTACGACAAACGTTCTGTTTCCTTTGAGTGGAAACCACCCAAATCCGATGGAGGCAATCCTATTCAGGGTATATCCACTTGAATTTTTTAAAATACTGCTTTGTTGTAAAACAAGTAGACAACGCGCCATAAGTTTGTTGAATGCTTATTCCAGGCTATCAGCTTGAGAAACGATTACTCCCGAGAGGCGATTGGAAAGTGGCTACGAACAATCTCATCCCGGGAAATAAAGTAACCATCTCCAACGTTGACGAGGGCATGACCTACGAGTTTCGGGTTTGCGCTGTTAACGACGGTGGTCCTGGTGCTTACGCACAGCTAGACAAACCTCATACAATCAAGGACATGATCTGTACGTGTTTTCGATGCTCGTCAGAAAGCATATTTTTGTTGTGATAGCAGATTTGAGTAACTTAATTGCCTCCTCTTCAGTCCCACCGGGAAGCCCGAGTGAGTTGAATGTGGACACCGTAAACAAGAACGGTGCAAAGTTGAGCTGGAAGCCTCCAAAATTCGACGGTGGAGCGCCAGTCACAGGATACGTGGTGGAAAAACAAAATGAGAAGGGTGATTGGATCCCAGTGTTAGAGACTAAGCAGACCTCAGCCTTTGTGCCCATGAAGGAAGGTGAGATCGCTCAATTCCGTGTGCGCGCCATTAATAAGGAGGGCCCCGGCGAACCCACCCGTCCCACATCCGCTCTCACAGCTGAGAACAAACCCACCGCTCCGCATATTGCCACTCCTAACGACGGGGTTATCGGTGGTCCTGGGACAGGTGTCGGTGGACTACATGATGTCACAATTAAGGTCGGTCTTCAGCCAAAATGATGTCAAAATCTTAAACATATTCTCCATTACTACCTGGAATTCGTATTACAGGCTGGTCAAGAGCTGAGCTTGCCGGTAGCCTGGTTCGGCTACCCAAAACCGACAGCAAACTGGTTGTTAAATGATAAGCCCGTGAAGGCTGGTGAGAATAACGTGGAGTTGCTGGGGGAAGGACCACCTAAGCCCTCAGAGAATACTCCTACGGCAGTGCTAGAACAGGAGCCGGGAGGGACATTTGTTCTCAAGGTGCCCAAGGCTCGTCGAGTCAACTCTGGTCGTTACCAAATACGTATTGTCAACGATCAGGGCCAGGCTTCCTCTTCTTGTCAAGTCAATGTCATCGGTCAGTCATAAATCACGACAAATGATGGTCAGGAGTTTCGGTCTTTAATTTACATCCAACTGAATGTTTTAGACGTTCCTGGAGCACCTACTGGACCTCTGGAGGCAGTGGACGTCAAGGCAGACGAGATCACGCTTCAATGGAAGCCGCCAGAAGATGATGGTGGTGAACCAGTCACGAATTACATTCTTGAAAAACGTCTCAAGGGCTCAGACAGGTGCGCCTATCAAATGCTTAACTAAAATACTTATTTATTCCTTTTCTTCTAGCTGGCAAAAAGTCAGCGGGTTTTTGAAATCCTCCACGGCGACTGTACATGGTCTGGAGGTCGGCAAAGACTATGAATTCAGAGTAATGGCGGAGAATGTTATTGGCACAAGCGAACCACTTCAAACCACAACAGCTATCAAAGCCAAGCATCCTTACGGTGAGTTTGGAGTCCATCGGCAACCCTCAGTCGTAAGTAAGCAGACTGCGTTACCAAGCTGACGAGCTGATTAACACGAAACGAAGATGAGTTACAAGTCATAATTCGTAGCGTACTTTCCGTAGTTCCTGCTTTGTTAAAAAGAGGTTTCTGGGAGCTGTTTAAACATCCGTTTGATTCACCGACTTTATTAGAGTCTAGAGCTGTTATGAATTGAGGAATTGGGTGATCTACTACTCATCAGCGGAAGTGAAGTAAATTCCACTCTAAAATTGCGGAGGAAGTTATCAGTTGGTGAACAAATACTTCTACGCAATTGTAGATCCACCCTCCGGCATGGAGAAACCGAACATTGAAGACACAACAGAAACCTCCGTTACACTTTCCTGGAATCCTCCAAGAAAGGGCCCAGTAACTGGCTACGTCGTTGAGAAGCGCCCAAAAGGCGAAAAGACATGGACAAAGTGAGGATTTTGACTCTGTTTCGGATGTGAATAGAAAGTAGACATCCTAGTATAACATTGGCGGTTTACCTTTCTATAGGGCTAATACTGGACCTGTCACTGGAACCTCATATACAGTGAAGAATTTACCCACTGGAAAGGAGTTTCAATTTCGCATTATTCCAGTCAACTTGGCCGGAGAAGGCGAGCCTAGCGAACCCACTGAAAATGTCAAGGTTCAGAATCCGCCGAGTAAGTCACGAAATCTTACGTCAAAATGACTTTGAAACGGTCTTATACTCCTTGCTCTCTAAATTTTTTATTCTACCAGCTGCTCCGAAGATCAGCAAAAACATCATGAATAACATCAACGCAGTGGTGGATAAACCCTTCAAGATGCATATACCCTACTCCGGCACACCGCCTGACAATATTGAGGTCAAAAAAGTGAGTGCTTTAGCTCCACCATCGGGATCATAAAGTGACTACAGAATAACGCATTTTATATCTACCACGTAGGACGGCAAACCAATTCCAATCCCCAGCGGTCGCTTCATGTTTGAAGTGACTCCTGACGAGGTGATTATAGTGGACACGAAAGCAGAGAAGGATGACGCAGGTCGCTATGTGGTTGGACTGACCAACGAGCAGGGCAAAGATGAGGTGCCCATTCAGGTCAACGTTCGTGGTCCCCCCTCTGCTCCTGTTGGACCTCTGGAGGTTACCGACATTCGTGCCGAGAGCTGCACTCTCACCTGGAGTCCACCACTTGCAAGTCGTGATTCTTTCAACATTAACTTTATGGTAAAATAGGCAAACGGATTAGTGCGCACCATCTTCCCGTTATTTAGGATAATGGTGGATCGCCGATCACAAATTACGTGGTCGAGAAACAGGAGGGTAGCAGTGGTGAATGGACACCTGTCAGTAATTTCGTTCGTACACCGCATTGGGATGTGACCGATCTCACTCCGGGCAAGCAATATCGCTTTCGAGTTCGAGCAGCCAATGAGTTTGGTCCTGGTGAACCTTTGGAGGTGACAAAGCCCATCACCGCCGAAAATCCTATCGGTGTGTAATTGGCGCGTTGTTTTCTACTGAGACATCCGAAAACGCTTTCCTGATTGGTTAATTTTTAATCTCCTCTCCATCATAGTTCCACCGGGTCCGCCAGGTGATCTTGAGGTGACAGATGTGGACTCAGACAACGTGACACTGTCGTGGTCAAAACCACGCAAGACAGGTAGCGGAAAGATCAGTGGGTACGTTGTTGAATATAAACCTGCGACAGGAGGTGATTGGACTAAAGCCACCAGCGTAAGTGGCAAGGATACCGAGGCAACAGGTGGGTGTTGTAGGGACCTCTACCACCGCATTTTCGCCTTTTTTATTCTTATTTTTACCTTCATTTGCAGTGAGTGGACTGAATAAGGGTGAGAAGTACTTCTTCCGAGTCTCCGCTAAGAATGAGGCCGGGCGCGGTGAACCTGCGGAGGTTGCAAGACCTGTTCTTTGCAAGCCAAAATATGGTACGCTCTGCAGTCTAGATAACGGAAAGCTTCTCCACAACTCCACCACTTTCGTTTAATTTCTTTTCTTTAAAAGAATTCCGATTTATAAAATCTAAAAAATTAGATGAATGTGTTTAAAGGAAGGAAGATCAGGTCTACTAACTGCATTATTAAATAGATCCAATTGTATGTCGCCACCTGTGACAGGTTTAACACACTTCAAGATGCAACGCCCTTAACTTGAATAGTTGATAGTCCGTTTTGTGAACTTGGAATTCATCCGCGAGTTTACAACCGCGCAGTCACCTCAGCAACACAGATATCTTTACTGCCGACGTAAGTGAGTAAGCTCCAAGGTTGTGGGGTTTGGCGTAAACGCCAAAACCGGGCGATTGGCTGACGGAGGCTGCCTGAGTCACCCGGTTGTAGCAGTCACACGTAGTTACAGTAACCGGTTGACCTTGGACATGCGTGCATCCATGCCTGAACCTAGCTAATCTGGAAGAGGTGGACAGGAGCACAGTCAGTAGAATGTTCGGGAGCCAGCCAAGCAGTTGGAAATCTCTGAGTCATCGAACAAGGGCGTCGTACCGGAGCTGCAGGCATACCCAGCAGCTGGAGTGATGAAAATGTGACGGGTAACGTTACTTGCCATCCAGCAATCTCTTATCCTTCCCTACGGCTTAATTACCACGACAGGGGATAAGATGAATCAGAATAGTCACTGACTGCGTCACAACTTGAATAAGATTTTAAGATTCTATAGAACCTACATACAATCAAAAGGATCATTGAGTAATGCTTCCACCGTTGAGTGCTTACGAGAACTTTGAATGTTTCAGACGCACCCGACGCTCCTGGCGTTCCCACAGTAAAGGATGTGGACAAGGACTACGTGGAGTTGGAATGGACCCCGCCAATCAGGGATGGTGGTGCTCGAATCACGGGCTACGTGGTGGAGAAGAAACAAGCCGGTAGCAATGAATGGGTTTTCGCCACGGCTGACGGAAAGCCAGTGTCTGGCACCTCAGCAAAGTTGGATGGTTTCACAGAAAATGCTGACTACGAGTTTCGAGTTCGAGCTGTTAATGCAGCTGGACCAGGAGAGCCAAGTATTCCCACAGAGATGGTTAGGGTCGCGAAGAAGAAGGGTGAGTTTCAGTCGAAAGGATGCCCTAAAAATGTACCCGAGAGGACTAATAGTAACTCCATTGTTTCCTTGCTCTTGAACAGTCAAGCCCGATTCACCTGAAGACGTCACTCCTACAGATGTATTGGCCAATTCCTGCACATTGAAATGGAAGCCACCCAAGAATGACGGTGGAAGTCCTGTCATGGGTAGGTTTTCGGCATAAACGGGTACCTTCCAATTCCAGGGATTGAAATTTAGCGCTCACGATGTGGAGTTCATTTCATAGACTACGTCGTCGAAAAGTGCGACGAGGCGGTTGGCACGTGGACACCCGTTCGTGCATCTATTCGTGATAACTCCGTTACGGTGGGTGATCTGGTAGAGGGAAAGCGTTACCTCTTCCGCGTCAGCGCTGTCAATGCCATCGGAAAATCGGAACCTGCTGAGACGCTTACCTCCATTGTTGCCAAAAATCCATTTGGTAGGCTTATTTCATAATGTTATTGGTTCAATAAAAGTCGCCAGGTTTAACACTGCACTTCCAGACCGCAGTACATTACAACAGTAACAATTTTACACGATTAATTTGACCACCTCTGGGATGTAATTGATAGCCGTGGCACCACATGGTTCGGTAACATTCAGAGACGGTACAAACAGACTGAAAACCACAGAAGTACTATCTTGAAGGTTGACTTGTGACAGATTAAAGGAAACAAGTTCATAGCCGCCTTGATTTCGTCCTCAGAGCTTCTTGTCGTCGCTGCTCATCCTTGGTTATCATAACAGAAATTTGTCGTTTTTTTATGATATTTCAGACGCTCCTGATGCTCCAACCTCTGTGAAGGTGGTCGACTACGACCACAGTTCAGCGACAATTGCATGGGAGCCTCCCGAAAGGGACGGTGGCAATCCCATCAAAGGTACTTCCTCCAAACTTATCCCCTTTGGCGTTGGTAGAACCTTTAGGCCTAGGTAATTGTAACCCGATATGCCGCTACTCCCAATTGTATGTTTCAGGTTACCTCGTTGAGAAACGAGTGGGCAAGGGCGAATGGGTAAAAGCACTGCCAAATCTCGTGTCAGGCACTGAAGCAACTATTCCCAATCTGCCATTTGGCAAGGAGGTGGAATTCCGAGTTGCTGCTGTCAATGACGGTGGTCCGGGTGACTTCTCTCGCGCCACCCTGCCTCAGCTGATCAAAGATAAAACAAGTAAGAAGCATGTCACAATTGTTTAATTAGCTAAGCTGCCTTTTAGTTTCCAAGTTTAAGCTAAATTTAAATTCAGGAATTGCTTCTATATATTAAAATGGAAGACGGACGTCATTCAAATATTATTCAGGCATATCATTCCATAAAGAGCCTTGATAGTGATGGTAGGAAAGGTTGGAAGAAAGGTAACATAAGTGAAATAAACGGAGCCCTGAACCAGTTACTACAAATGACGTAACTTGAATTGATTTGCATTGTAGGCCCTGCGGGACCTCCCGATGGTTTAAATGTGGACAAGATGAACAAGAACGGCGCAAAGTTGTCGTGGAAGAAGCCTCGCAACGACGGTGGCTCACCAGTTACGGGCTATGTGGTGGAGAAGCTGGACGAGAAGGGTGAATGGACCCCAGTGAAACAGACCACAGAACCAGAGGCCTTCATACCGATGAAAGAGGGTGAGAAAACTCAATTCCGTGTTCGAGCTGTTAATGAGGAAGGTGAGGGTGAGCCCAGCCGTCCAACACCCCCGGTCACTGCGGAGAACCAACCCGCACCTCCACGCATTATAACACCAGCTGATGGCGTACAAGGTGGACCCGGATCTGGTGTTGGCGGTCTTCAGGACATCACTATTAAGGTGATTCAACGCAATCTGATACCTCTTATCGATTAAAAATAGACGCAAGTGATAAGACGATCCTTATTTGCTGAAAACAGGCAGGTCAAGAACTCCGAATGCCAATAGCCTGGTTTGGCCACCCACCACCGACAGCCACATGGATCCAGAATGGTCAACCTGTTAAGCCTGGTGGAGAGCGGAAGATTGCCATGACAACGGAGCCGCAGCCACACCCCGTTGAACCATTGGCTGGTGGACTTTTGGAGGAAGAACCGGGCGGCACCTCGGTGCTGCGTGTGCCTAAAGCCTCACGAGCAGACTCAGGCGAATGGCAAGTAGTATTGAAGAATGACCTTGGACAGACGACCTCGTCGTGCAGAGTCGTGGTCATTGGTAAGAATGCTTCCCTTACCCTTCTATATCGGCTGCTACGACAGTCGTCAACTTGAATCCCTCACTAGACTAGGACTGTCAGAATCAACGGTAATCGTGAATCCCATCTACCATATCCTATGCTATCATGCACCCAAAGTTAGGCGACACTGTATTGAATGCGTTTCATGTGTCAATCGCTTTTCTTATGAAGATTTGCTTGAAACAAAACGTTCTTATCGAAAGTTGGGATATTTTTACGGTCTCCAAATGCCACCTCTATCTCCCTTCTCCGTTGTCTTTTGCTTCAATTCAAGGGATGTTCAAATCTTTTCAATCTCTACTGCATAGAGGAGGGCAAGATCACCTAATTTTTCATTCTGAAAGTACAAAACAGTTTAGTTGGTGTAAATTTCTTGGCCATTGGTTTGGTTTGGAGTCAAGAGGGTATAATCGAATTAATTGGGGTGTAGCTCTGTAACAAGAGTTGGTTGAGTTGGGTCTGGAAGCGGTGGTGTACAGCTGGTATGGAAAATGATTTGCCAGACTGTTGCACCAGCCAAAGATCAGCACAGACAGATGTGCTTGAATAACTTCCTTTTTTCTTCAGACGTTCCCTCGGCTCCATCTGGACCTCTGGAGGCGACAGATGTGAAGGCAGATGAGATTTCCTTGAGCTGGAAGCCGCCGGAAGACAGTGGAGGCGAGCCAGTCACCAACTACGTTCTTGAGAAACGACCCAAAGGCTCTGGCGAGTAAGTGCCTATCCAATTTTCTAATTAACAACATTTCCTCAATCACTTGGTGTCCATTTATTCACATGAACAAAAATCCGGAGGTTTCCTTACTTTTCCCATGATGATGTCACGCATTAACCGAAAATCGTTCTTAAGGTGGCAAAAAGTCAGTGCATTCATCAAGACGCCTAACGCTACTGTTCGTGGACTGGAAGAGGGAGTGGAGTATGAATTTCGGGTGATGGCAGAAAACGCCATGGGACTGAGCGAGCCTCTCACCACGGAGAAGGCTATCAAAGCCAAGCATCCGTTTGGTAAGTTTGGCCATCGATATTAACCAGTTTCTTTCCACATAAGTCATTCACCAGCAAGTCTGTAATGCCATGAAACTAGATCCACCCTCTGGAATGCAAAAGCCAACTGTCGAGGATACCACGGAGCATTCTGTGTCACTTTCGTGGGAGCCACCACGAAAGGGACCGGTAACTGGCTATATCGTGGAGAAGCGGCTAAAGGGCGAGAAAAATTGGGCAAAGTAAACTAGCGTAGTTCATCCATCCTACAAGCAAATTTTTCCCGTGTAATTTTGTCACTTTTCCTTTGACTAGGGCGCATTCAGGAACTATAACCGGTTTGAATACAACCCTTCGGGGTCTGCCCACAGACAAGGAATTCCAATTTCGAGTTGTGCCCATCAATCTTGCAGGACCAGGTGAACCTAGTGAACCGACAGAGAATGTCATAGTTCGAGAACCACCCAGTAAGCACCAAGACTCGACAGTTTGTCTCTTTTCATGAATGAGGATTCAGGCTCGGCTTCGTTTGATTACAGCTGCTCCAAGGATAGGTGATTTGAAGAGGGAGATCAATGCGACACTGGGTGAACCATTCAAGATACATGTGCCCTACACCGGCACACCTCCAGACAACGTGGCTCTCATTAAAGATGGCAAGCCAGTTAGCCTTCCAAGTGGTCGATTCGTATTGGAGGTCACTCCGGACGAAGTAATTATCACTGACTTGAAAGCGGAAAAGGAAGATACTGGTCGCTATGAGGTGGCACTTGAGAATGAGGAGGGCAAGGATCAAGTGGCTCTGCAGGTGAATGTTAAGAGTCCTCCTGATGCTCCTACTGGACCGCTGGAGGTCTCCGACGTCACTGCTGACGGTTGCAGGCTTAAATGGAAACCTCCGAAAGTGAGTGGGATTGAAACTCACAATTCCTACTCCCTTTTATACCTGGCGTTTAAAGATTGTTAATAAAATTTCAGGATAACGGAGGCTCACAAGTCACCAACTACGTTGTGGAGAAGCAGGATCTGCAGACAGGCGAGTGGTTACCGGTGAGCAGCTATGTGCGCGGGACCGAGTTTAATGTATCTAATCTGGATGAGGGCAAGCGCTACAACTTCCGAGTCAAAGCTGTCAATGAAAATGGTGTGAGCGAGCCGCTGGAGTCACAGACACCTATTACAGCTACAAATCCTGTTGGTAGGTTAAATTACTTTGTTTACTTTACCATAAAAGAATAGGAAACTTGGAGGTGCTCCTCTTTGTCTGTATTTTTATTGGCTATCCTCAAGACTCAACCACTGCATTATCGGTTGATATTTTTTTGGAAGATGTTAGCCTACCTTTCACGATTGTGCTATTAATGAGAAGGTTTGTGTTTTTTGCTTTGAATTTAAACGCGATTTCTAAATCATTGCAAGTGCTTAAAGCTTTCACAACTATTTGCATGTGGGGACTGTGAGCGGGTTATTTGCTGCATTTTGCACCATCGATACTTGTTTAGTCTCCAATTACATGGTAAACCACTGACAGTAACGCTTGGCCAAAAATCCGTGCTTTGAATTTACATGAGGCGGAAAGTGTTAAGTGGCAGTCGACATAGAAGACGGATACGGCAAAACAAGTGGTCTTGCATTTCATGTTAGGTATTCGTTAAGAGTATGGAAACATGAGTTTTATGTAGACAAAAGAGGCAATAGTTCCGCATTCATGAATACCATAGAAATGATCGAAGTTTGTGGTTTTGCTAGTCTTTTGGTTCGCCAGTATCACTTGGGTGGCACTTTATATATGCTGACACTCCTTTTAACCTCAAGGTCATTTGAGGAGGCAAATGCGTGTGCTTGTTGTGTATGCCAAACTGCAGCATCCAGACCTGCTCATTAAGCCTTTATCTTCTCGGTCATTCCAATTGGAAATGTAGCGTCTTCGTGATCCTAAACGTTCAGTATTACAAACCAACCTCAATCCCGATCACCAATCAAGTGCTTTTGTATTTGGACGGACCTGGTTGACCGCCTTCAATTCTGCTTTAAGAGCATATTTTTTAGCTGATGCTTCGTTTTCTTATTCAAAAATCAGTCTCTACGTACACGCACGCCCTACTTCGGGACACAATGCAGGTACTCTTAGCACCAGAGTGCGTTGTTTTTATATAGGAATCTTTTAACCGTTTCCATTTGCTTATTAAAACAAAGAATACATTACCCAATGCGCAGACACGTGCATAACTGCAGAAAGTTGGCACATTGCTCTCTTAAACTATATTTACTTGAGTTTAACAACTCAGTGAACAATATCTACTGGCTGACTCTTGTGATTGGTGATTCTAGGTCACGCTTTAAGTGAATAAAGTTATCACTCTTGTCTGGAGGTAGAGTGGTGTTAGATATTTTAGAATGACTAGTCTCGATAAGCGGAGTGGGTTATTTTTGCGTCTGATGTTCAGTTCCGGTTGCAAGCGTTGCTAACCATTTTTTGGAGTTGGCAATTTTGTGTTTACCATCAGTAGCCTATCAGTATACGGTGCTGACTACTGACTTCCATTGCATTCTGGTGACTTTAGTGCCTCCCAGTGCACCAAATGGCCTTGAAGTGGCAGACGTTGATTCAGAGGAGGTCACGCTGACATGGATGAAGCCGAGGAAGGACGGTGGCTCGAAGGTCACTGGCTATGTGGTAGAGTACAAACCGGCTGGCAGTGATGAGTGGATCAAAGCGCCGAGCACGAAGGAAATCACTGCGACTGTCCGTGGCCTATGCAAAGGCGAGAAGTACGTGTTCCGCGTCAGTGCCAAGAATTCGGCTGGTACTGGCGAGCCCAGTCAAGCTACCAGGCCTGTGCTCTGCAAACCCAAATACGGTAATGTCGCGATCACTAGTGCCTATTGATGTGTTGACGTTGGTCACTTTCAAATAAATTCCGCCATTTTTTAGTGTGGGGACTGTTTTTCTTGGCGTCGTAGGCAATGCTGTGTCCTAAAAAGTAAAATGATGGTCACCTGGCGAAAATAATTGCAGTAACCAGGATTGGTTTCGGGCACAATACCTGCTCTTAAAGTCCAAATTTTTTGTCTTGAAATGCTAGTCAAAGTACAATCCATGTGCGATTATTATTGTACCATTTCCACCAAAGATCAAAGCGGGTTTTTTCCAATTAGTGCAAGCATAATGTTGAATGACTGGCCAAATAATTGCATTGTGAAACTGGGAGTTTGAAAATATGTGTTGAAAAGTCCACATGACAATGAGGGCAATCAGAATAAGCAACATGCTTAAAATCGTGACTCTGTAGATGCTCCGGACGCTCCCGGACAGCCTCACGTGGAGGACGTGGACAAGGACCAAGCTACGCTCTGCTGGTCCGCACCCCTTCGTGATGGTGGCTCGAAACTTACAGGCTTCGTAGTGGAGAAGAAGAAATTGGGAGACGATGATTGGAGCAAGGCGGCCGATCTACCTCCATCCGCTACAACGGCAACCATCGAGCAGCTGGAACCTAATGCAGAATACGAATTTCGTGTTCGTGCAGTTAATGCTGCAGGCCCTGGTGAACCATCCCTTCCATCGGAACTCCGTAAAATCGTACCCAAACAAAGTAGGCAGTATCTTTCATTTATCGCACGGATTCACCCTCGGTCTTAGTTTGAATTCGTCTCTTGGATTTTGTTTTGTTTTAGCAAAACCAAATGGTCCAGAGGAGGTTAATGTCAAGAACGTTCTTGCCAACTCCTGTACTGTCGAGTGGACTCCACCGAGATCAGATGGTGGATCTCCAATCACTGGCTATGCAGTGGAAATGTGTGATGAAGCTACGGGTGTTTGGACACCCGTCTCCAGGTCCGTCAAGGGCAACTCTGTGGAGGTTCCCGGACTCACTGAAGGTCATCGCTACAATTTCCGTGTGTCGGCTATTAATGATCTGGGTCGTTCGGAGCCTATGGAAACCCTACTCTCTACCCTTGCTAAAAACCCGTTCGGTATGTAACTGCCTCCCTTACTTCAAGCCGTTTTGTTTCAAAGAAAGAGTAAATTTGACATCTTTAATGTGTTCAGATAATCCTGATTCTCCCCAGTCCGTGAAAATTGACGATTACGACAGAGATTCCGTGGTTCTCTCCTGGAAACCACCAGATAGTGATGGAGGTAACCCAATAAAGGGCTACATCGTGGAGAAACGCACACCCAAGGGTCAATGGGTCAGGGCGACGGCTGGAATTATACCTGACACAACTGCATCTTTGACAGGTCTTGAACCCGGACGCGAGTATGAATTCCGTGTCGCTGCTGTCAATGAAGGTGGTCCTGGAGACTTCTCAAGACCTACTATGCCTCATCTCATGCGTGATAAGATCGGTAGGTCTTGTGTCTAATGTATCACCTAGGGTACTCCCGAGATGGGTTTACTGTAAGTTTTTGTAGGCACTGGATGACTACTGACACTGAAGTAATGGAGGATCAACTGATTTATGCGATGCTGTCAGTGGTAAAAACATGTTTCATTTTCCAACACAGCTCCTACCCTATGTTGAGTGTTGTTCTCGTGACTCTGGTTGATTTCCCGTCTGAGATCTAAACAATCGCCTGTGAATCGAATATAACCATGATCGAGAAAGGGAGACCATGCACTGGTGCTCTGGTACACATAGAGAGGACCTCTAACCTCCTGAAGGTTTCATTGGGTCTGTTCGTATGTTTCGGTTTGCGGAAGTTGTTTGTTGAATGTCGTCTGGGGTTGAGAGAAAATTTATCAGAAAGAAGTAGATGGAACGATATGGTGTAATGAAGAATTTCCTTTTAATTAAAGCTCCTGCGGGATCTCCGGATAGCTTGAACGTGGACAAGGTGAACAAGAATGGCGCAAAGCTGTCGTGGAAGAAGCCTCGCAATGACGGTGGCTCACCAGTCACGGGCTATGTGGTGGAGAAGCTGGACGAGAAGGGTGAATGGACCCCAGTGAAACAGACCACAGAATTAGAGGCCTTCATACCGATGAAAGAGGGTGAGAAAACTCAATTCCGTGTTCGAGCTGTTAATGAGGAAGGTGAGGGTGAGCCCAGTCGTCCAACACCCCCAGTCACCGCAGAAGATCAACCGATGGCTCCACGCATTGCCACTCCAGCAGATGGACTTATTGACAGTCCACGCTCTGGTATTGGTGGTTTGAAAGACATTACAGTCAGGGTGAGTTTCTTGCTTCCAACGCTACTTACCAGCTTTATATTGTGCCCTAATTTGACTGCTTTTTCCAGGCCGGTCAAGAAATTCGGCTGCCTGTGACTTGGTTTGGCAGTCCCACTCCTGTTGCTAACTGGACTCACAATGACAAGCCCATCAAACCAGATGGTCTCCATGTTAAAGCCACGACTGAGGATGCGCCTCATTCTGCAAAACCACTCCTTGGCGGCCATCTGGAAGAAGAACCAGCTGGAACTTCTGTTCTTATTATTCAAAAAGCAAAGCGTGAGGACTCTGGCACCTATGGAGTCACTATTGAAAACCCCCTTGGACAGACGCGCAGCTCTTGCTCGGTCATCGTACTAGGTTGGTGAAATGTGTGTTGAAACAAGTGCTTTGTATAAATGCCTCGTCTAAGTGTGGATTATTATGCCCTGTAGATGCTCCTTCTGCACCTGGAGGTCCTTTGGAAGCAGCAGACATCAAATCGGATGAGATAACGCTTAAATGGAAACCACCTGAAGATGACGGTGGTGAACCGGTTAAGAATTACATTTTGGAGAAACGAGTTACTGGCACTGACAAGTAAAAATGCGACTATCTTCAGTCCTCCTCATTATTCTTTCACTTGCTAAAAATGAGCGTTTTGTTTTATAGCTGGCAGAAGGTTAGTGCCTTCCTCAACTCACCAGAAGCGACCGTTCGTAATCTGGAAGAAGGAACGCCCTACGAGTTCCGTGTTATGGCGGAGAACTCGTACGGAGTTAGTGAGCCACTGATGACAACTGGTAGCATTAAGCCAAAGCATCCCTTCAGTGAGTTTTTTCCTGTTTTGTTTTGGGCTGCGTGGATAGGCTAAGTTATTAAAACGCTCAAAAAACTGCTTTCAGACCCACCTTCCGGTATGTCGGAACCATATGTCGAGGATACGACAGATGACAGTGTCACTCTATCCTGGGATACTCCCACACGTGGTCCAGTGTCTGGCTACATTGTTGAGAAGAAACCGAAAGGTTCCCGTGAATGGACCAAGTGAGTTCTGGCACCTATCTTCCCAGTGTTCCCCTTGCCTGCAAGTGCGTAAATGGGCGGCTCAGAAGATTACACAGAGACCGGCGGACTAGTAATATGAGCAAGATGAGTAAAAATTTCAAGGCCGTAAACTGCAAAGTGGGAATGCGGATCATACGCTCAAGGTGTATCACAAATTGGATGTCTACGCATCTCATCAATTTGAGTGGAGAATACTTGACAGCTCGATAGTAAATAGTGCTTTATTGGTGGGTCCGTCGAGTGGGACTTAAGGTTGAAATCGGTCCTACTGCGGGTACACTGATAAAGCAGGTGGCATTTCATGGCTTTTAAAAGATGTGTTTGGGGAACTGGAGGCCTTACTCACTTCCGGCTTCTACTAGTGAGTGCATTTTCAACACTGAAAACGTTTATTTGAGCAATTTTTTTAGTTTATTGGGCTTGCGGTAGTCAAAGAACAAGTGGTAAATTACCAAGTCTAACTTCTGAAATACTAAAACTTCTCATATCGTTGTGTCAGTGCGAATTATTGAATTCAATGAGTTGTTAAACCCAAATGGTATTTGCAGAGCCAATCTGGGCAATGTGACCGGCAACTCCTACACCGTGAAGGGTCTGCCCACAGGCAAGGAGTTCGAGTTCCGTGTAGTGCCTTACAACGCTGCAGGTAATGGTGAACCAAGTGATTCCACCGGTCTTATCAAAGTACAGAAGCCTGTAGAGGCACCGAAAATCTCCTACGATGCACCCACCGAAGTCAATACGGTCTTGGGTCAACCGCTCAAAATCCGTATTCCGTTCACTGGCTCTCCCCCTACCGATGTTGAACTGGTTAAGGTATGTGTCTCTTAGTCGGAGCACATAGAACTGCAAGACTCCTTTTTTCTGTAAAGGGATAATAAAGTTTGCAAGTCCGGATGAAACATGTGTGGTCACACACTTTGTATGCCACTTGCTTCCCTTGGAAACATTCACTTAAAGCAGTGCTGGATGCACTGTACCTTCATATTCTGGCCATATAATACTGTGTTCCAAGCAATGTTATGGGTGGTTTTCTAGGTAATTTTGCAATTTGCTTACGCTTGCTCTGGCTCCAGTGAGATTGGTGTTGATGTCTGCCTACTGATGCCGTCAATGCACCACTTGTCCCCAGAGACGTTAAAGAGCAGTTAAGTCGGGAAGCCTTTTTATTGTAAATGTGTACGATAGCCGGGAGACTGATGGCACAAGTGGAAGTGAAGTTGTGGAAGTCTAAACTGACATTATCTCATGAATGGAGGATTTGAAAAGTACTACTTATAGAGCCTATAATGGAAGGTGTTGGATCAACTTTTAATTTCATTATTTAAAGGATGGGAAGCCAGTGTCCATACCGAATAACCATCTCAACGTGGAGATCACACCTGACGAAGTTATCATAACTGCTCCTACCTCGGAGAAGGCTGATACAGGTGTCTATGACGTCAAAGTAGCCAATGAAAAGGGCTCTGACCACAGACCAATCAAAATCAACGTCCTTTGTCCACCGGATCCACCAGTAGGCCCGTTGGATATTAAAGAAGTCACTGCGAACTCGTGCAAACTGTCATGGCAACCACCGGCTGTAAGTACCCCTTAGGGTGTTTATCCAGTAGGCGTATGAAGTACTTGAGGCTGGTTCTACCTAGTACGAACAAATGCACAAAGTGCGGAAATCACACTTGATCTATCTCTTGCATACTTCAGTAACCTACAATTTGACCTGGAATACCGGATTTGTTGATGTCATTTGGGTCAGTAATTCTAACGAGAGTACCAACTTTCTGCTAGGCTACGTATGGATCGCCAGTGACGAATTACGTCGTAGAGAAGCAGGATGTTGCAACTGGTGAGTGGACACCAGTAAGCAAGTTTGTGCGTCAGCCAGAATATGAGGTCACATCGTTGGATGAGGGTAAAAAGTACAAATTCCGTGTTTCGGCGGTGAATGACTATGGTGTCAGTGAACCCCTGGAAGCCGATCGTGCCATCACTGCGGTCGATGAAGCCGGTGAGTACGGATTTTCACTACGGTCATAGAGCCTTGAACTTGTGGATATTAACTAGTGTGATCAAATAGTATCGGGAAAGTACGGACCATTGAGCGATTAGAGGTGGAGGTCTTGCTTAAATAGGACAATATGATCAGAAATTACCGGAAATTAGTCATGTACTGCACCAAGTACACTTAACTGACGAATGTACGAGTATATCAAGGGGGAATTTTGTCTCCGATGGACAAATTAAAGAGGGAAGCCATTTCCATTGTCTAAAACCAGTAAATTTGAAGTCCAACCATATTCCAAATATTTTATAATGGCAATATTTTGCTATTTTCTTCATAATTTTCAAGTCATTAATGGCTAATCTGCGAGGCGCAAACTAATACCTTTTTAACTTGCAGTCGCACCGGACGCTCCACAAAACGTGGACGTCACCGATGTTACGGAGGACAGCGTCTCCCTGGAGTGGACGAAACCACGTGGAACTGGTAGCAAGCGCCCCACGGGTTACGTCATTGAATACAAAACATCGGACGGTGAATGGACTAGAGCACCTGTTGGACAAATTAAGGGGACTTCTGCTACTGGTAGGTCCTTGCAAACAGTAACACCTCTCTATTTGTCAATCTCTCCAAACATCCTGCGATCCGTCTATCCGTTTCATCATTTTTTACTCCAATTATCTACCTACACATCTGTCCTTTCAGATTTGTACGTTTATTCGCTCCTCAATTTTCGATCCGCTTATCCACTTCATCATACGCTCATCCATCCATCCGTCCATCCATCCATCTTAACCGCTTATTCATCTATTCTTCCACTCAGATAACGATATCCTTCCCTATCAATCTCTAACCATCTTCGTTTTGCCCATTCACCTGTCGTTCCGCTTGTTCCGACCCACATCCAAGTATTCGTCTACATTTTTATTCATTCCGCATCTACATTTCAGCCACCTCTGATCTGTCTCCAATTCACCCATTCTTCCTCCCATTCATCCATTGTGTTTGTCCATTACATCAGGCGCTAGATTGAATATACCTTTTGGACTATTTAGTAAGCGGCTTGGAGAAGGGCAAACGCTACGCCTTCCGCGTATCCGCCAAAAACGACGCTGGTATTGGTGAACCCAGTCGTCCGACCCAGACTGTTGAATGCAAACCGAAGTACAGTAAGTGATGAAATAAATTTTACCGTAATTAATTAATTCGTGAGGATCAGATAGCTGTAAGCCCTAAATTTGGAAGTCTAACGGCAAAGATAACTGGTAATCAGCGGTTTGAACAAATAACGCATGCGAATTTTAGCAACCTCCGGAAGCACCAGCATGCCAGCAGTTGACAGCGTTGGTCGCGACTTTGTCAATCTCTCTTGGACTCCGCCTAAACGAGATGGTGGTTCGCGCATAACTGGCTACGTTGTGGAGAAGCGTCCTCGTGGTTCTTCGGACTGGGTCCCCGCCACCGCCTCTCCAATTATCGGAACCTCGGCGAACATTAGTGGGCTGCCGACTGGTGAGGAATTCGAGTTCCGTGTTGTTCCAGTCAACGCTGCTGGTAAAGGCGAGCCCAGTCCCGCTACTCCGATGACTAAAATTGAGGACAAACGTGGTGAGTACTCCATTCCTTCTATCAAGCATTTGTGTACGGCGTTCGAATGAGTGCTGAAGTTCTTTGACTTGATCGACTTTAGCCAGGGCAGCGGCCGACTTTATTACCAAGTTGACACCAGCATCAGCGGGTGTCGGAGGTACAGCAGAGTTTATGGTCCAAGTTGATGGCAATCCTGCACCAAAAGTCCGCTGGCTTCGCAACGGTATGGAGCTGAACCCGTCCAGCCGAGTAAAGATCACCGGACCCGATAATGATGGCATGGCACGCCTGGTTCTGGAGGACCTCAATGAGCACGACGGTGGTGACATCACCTGTGAACTGGTAACACCTGTCAATCGAATCTCGTGTTCTGCGCCCCTAGATGTCTTTGGTGCACCACGCGTCCAAGACGAGGTGCCGGAGCGAACTGCAGAGGAGGGCGATCTGGTCAAATTTAAGGTGCCATACACTGCTAAGGGCAATATCTCCCTCAAACTGCGCAAGGATGGTCGTGATGTGCCCGAGTCAAGCACTGTCAAACTCATGGACCTGGATGGTGTGGCTTCCGTCCAATTTAAAGGTAGGTGATCTTCTATTTTATCACAAGTGCAGTGGCATTTTGCACGTGTTTCCAGGGTATTTGGGTTTCAAATGAAAATTAGGATGCCAGTACGTAGCCGACCGAATTTATCATTGTGAGCACCATCACAATCATATTCTTTGATTCATTAAAAATTCTTTAATTTCAGACGTCGATCGCGATATGGCTGGCAAATACACCCTGGATATATCCAATGAAAGTGGAACGACCTCGGTACCGATTGTTCTGAAAGTCCTTGGTGAGTTTTGCATTCATCCAAATAAGTGGCCATCAAATACTACAAAGGCACAAGGTAACTAAATAAGTTCATATCGGTTCCATCATATCCTAGAGGGAAAAACTTCGCACAGGTCAGTTTCTTGGAATGAAGAAGACTTGTGTTGTTCTGATGGAGTAAAATGGGGCCTTATTCCCACTGTTTAACTGATATTGACTATATTGGCGGCAAGTCTTCGAGTTGTATAGAAGGAAAACGCATTCTGTATCCCGTTGAATGGGTGGCATCTTTGTCTATAGCGTGGAATTTCTAATCCTTCTTCACGTAGGGGAACCTGACTTGTGTCAAGGACCACTGCAGGTTACCGACACGACGCCCTTCAGCACTCGTCTCTCGTGGAAACCACCACGTAACGACGGCGGTTCTAAGGTGACGCATTATGTAGTGGAGCGGCAGGAGGTTGGCAAGGATAACTGGGTCATGGTCCAATCAGCTTGTACTTCACCCACCTCAGAGATTCAGGGTCTCACAGATGGTGCTAGCTACCACTTTCGCGTTGCACCTGTCAACGATGTTGGTCAGGGACCCTGGCTCACTACAACCACTCCGATTGTTGCCAAGTATCCATTCGGTGAGTGCACGATTTCATTTTGTCTGGATCTCGAGTGAACTAAAAAGTGCTCGAACTATTCCTGAATACACCAAAAACATACCATTTTAAAATTTAATTTATTTCCAAGTTGTGAAAGAATTATGAGGGAGGCATTGTTCTGGCACTCTCTTTCAGATAAGCCCTCAGCACCAGGTCCGGTTTCGGTCTCTGATGTGGGATCGAACTTTGTCAATCTTACGTGGTCGCGTCCACCCAACGATGGTGGTGGTCGGCTCCTCGGCTACTTTATCGAGAAGCGTGAAGCTGGTGCACCCAATTGGACCCGAGTGAACGTTAAACCCATCCAAACCCTCTCCTACAACATACCAAACCTCATTGAGGACAAGTCCTACGAGTTCCGCGTGTTCGCTGTCAATGATGCTGGTGAAAGTCCACCCTCCATTATTGGCAGTCCGATTCTTGTCAAGGATCCGTTGAGTGAGGGTTCAGAAATTTCTCTTCGATAATTGTATTTGGATCTACGGTGATCCAATGCTTGTATTTTTCCATTCTACCTAGGCTGCGCTACTCCACAGCTGCTGCGATCGTTGAAACCTATCACTGTCAACGAGGGACGTGATGTGGAATTCGAAATTGAGGTGGACTGTTCATCGCCTTACGAGGTGACGTGGTACAAGGGCGATCGTGAACTTGTACCATCCCATAGGATTGACATGTCCCGAGAGGGTCGCATGTGCACTCTAACGATTGCAAATTGTCAAGGCGAGGATACTGACGACTACAGTGTGAGGGTCTCTAATCGTGGTGGCACAAAATACAGTCGTGCTTCACTTGCTGTCAACAGTAAGTGCTCGGATGTAAATTTATGCCTTTTGTCCGTTTGATATGAGAACATTCGATAAGGATGAAAATTGGTGCAAGCCTTTTAATACCTTTACAAATTAACTAGAAAATTCACTATTATCGTTGGCAATACTTTTCTTCCCCAGCCAAACCCCAAATTAATCTACCAAGCCGCTGGCACGAGCCAACGGACTGGGAGCGTGGTGATACTATCCAAATTAAAGCCCCCTTCGTGGGTTACCCAACACCTCGTGCTACCTGGAAACTAAATGGAAAGGAGTTGCACGAGGGGAAGAATGCGCAGATGGAGATGAAACGTCGCCACGCCATCCTTACTCTCTCCAATGTGAATGAGAACACTACCGGCAAGGTGGAACTGATTCTGGAGAACTCTATGGGCAGCGACTCTGCCACCATCGATCTACGTGTCCACGACCGACCTCCGCCACCCTACGACGTTAATGTAGAGGGCACTTCTGACGGATGCGCCCTACTCTCCTGGAAGATGCCTCCAGACTCGGGATACGTCTCTGAGTACATAATCGAGCGAGCAGAGATGCCGGGTGATAACTGGATCCGTGCTGGTATCAGCCGGTAGGACTAATTTCTCTAGCATCACTCCTTCTTGTCTGTTTCCGTAAGTGTTAATCAATTTTTTGCGTTGCAGCTTCTCCACCTACAACTGCGAAGGTCTACAAAATGGCCATGAGTATCGATTCCGCGTCTTTGCTGACAACCTCCACGGTCGCAGCGATCCCAGTGAGCCCTCCGAACCGGTTTTGATTAAGCCCGAGGAGAAGGCACGCAATAAACAGAGGCGGAGACTTGGTGATGGTGAACCCAGGGGCTCCTACGATGGTCCACCAATTACCGATTATGACAGATTCTGTGAGTTGCGTTTCTTGAGTTGTGCGTTTTCGGTTACTGACCTAACTTTCATGAAGCTTCATTGACATTTTCAAATTCTGTGCACTGTGTTGCGGTACCTCAGTTACGTCCGATGATGTTTTGGGATTATACATCTGGAAGGCGGGAAGACTAGTGGTTAGGTGGCTTGAGTGGGAGTTCAACATTATTGTCTTGGAACTTGGACCACAGAAAAGTGGGACGACATAGGTAGTTGACTATGCAAACAAACAGCTTATTGTTTCTCGGTGTTGTTCTCAGTTGTCACTCCTCTACGCCACACGTAGCACTATTCCACGCTCTTAGCTTCTGTGGTTGAAATCAGCACGTACTCTGTTTCCGGATGTCTTCTTTCCACTTTTCAACTTTCCGCTCACTTTAAGGGACATTTCCCTATTTTCAGATGAAGGTCTGTGGCGCAAAGGAGCTCCTCTACCGACCAACTTCAACTCCGGAAATATCTATGATTATTACAACATTCTTGAGGAAATCGGCACGTAAGTGTCTCCTCTGCATTTCCTTTCTCCTAACAGGTGCAGTTGTTGTGCCCACAATATCTAGACTATATCAAGACCCTTCAGACCTGATCATCTACACCACTTTTAATGGAGAAATAGCATTTGGAAATGCCTTAAGGCCTTTTGGGAATTACTATTCATAAGAATTAGTTTTCGGTCGGATCAGAACGAAATGTTTAATCAATTAATCATTGTTTAAAATTTTAGCGGCTCCTTTGGAGTTGTACATCGGGCTAAAGAAAAGGCGACGGGACGCACCTACGTGGCTAAATTCGTGCCCACATCTACAGAAGCGGAGCGAAATGCCGTGAACAATGAGGCGAACATAATGAAACAGTTAAACCACCCGAAACTGTTGCACCTTCACGAGGTCTTCTCTGAACCTAACGAAACTGCTCTGGTCCTTGAATTGTACGTCATGAGAGTGTTCACGGAATTTTTCTTTTCCTTTGAACGAATGAATTGTTGCTGACTGATCTTCAAATATTTTTGTTGGCAGTCTCTCTGGTGGCGAGCTGTTCGATAGAATCGCGGACGATGGCTACACTATGAATGAGGCCGAGGTGATCAAGTACATTCGACAACTTCTCGAGGGTCTGCAACACATGCACGAGAACCACATTGTTCATCTTGACATCAAGGTGAGTTTGTAACTACCGTTTTTGGACAAGTGGAAGCACATCTCGTAAATTCTGAGAAAAATGTGGTAAGTTGAAGCTCGGTGGAATTTATTTAATTTACCTCATTGCTTTCCTTGTTTCTCCTTTAGCCTGAGAACATAATGTGTGAGACCAGCCGTTCTACAGACATCAAGCTGGTTGATTTTGGCCTCGCCACGAAACTGAATCCACAGGATGAGGTGCGAGTGAGCACTGCAACACCTGAGTTCGCGGCTCCAGAAATAGCAGATCACAATCCTGTTGGCTTTTATACCGATATGTGGGCTGTTGGTGTGCTCTCCTACATCCTCCTCTCCGGTATCTCGCCTTTCACCGGCTCCGATACTATGGACACCCTTCGCAATGTCAGCCGGGCCTCTTATGACTTCAGTGATGATGCCTTCCAGGATGTCTCGGACAACGCAAAGGACTTCATCTCAAAACTGCTCATCAAAGCCCCTGAGTATGTCTAATCGCAACTTCTAAATATTCATAAGAATAAATATCTCCTGTATGATGACAAGTTAGGTGTTGAGACCAACTATCTACTCACTTGGATTTAAGTATCTGTCTCTCAGTTACTCGACCGAAGCCTAGGCAGACCCAACATTTCTGCAGCCCTTCCATTTTTTGCTGAGGAGTTCAACAACCAGCATTCATCACCACAGCTTGCTTAGTCTTGGGCAATTGCAAGTGTGAAACTTGCCATCTGAAGAAATCACATCTTAAAGGTCGTTTGAATTGCACTTAATAGTGAGTGAATTCAGTGTTACATTTTTTCCCCTTCAGGAAACGTATGAACGTTTTTGAAGCTCTGAACCATCCTTGGCTCAACACCGAGATTACGGATGATCAGCGGCGTCGCATCCCATCCAAACGCTACAATGCAGTTCGTCAACAAATGCATGAGCGTATTGTAAGTGTCCTTCATTCTTCTACTTCTTCTTCGAACAATCTTTATCAAAGCGATATTCTCTAATTGATCCAACAATTGCAGGGTGACAGTTGGGATCGCAAGCCAGCTATTGGACATCTCTCGAATTACAGCAGTATTCGCCGCCTCAAACGCGATGATTACAAGATTTACTCAACTCATTTCGGTTAGTGGTTGTTTTCACAGAGAAAAAACGTATTTGCTTCTGGTTCTACTAATCCTTCTTTTCTCTTACAGACCACCGCGAAGCCGGCCCCAGATTTATCCGTCATCCCACCGGTCAGACAGTTATCGAAGGCAACACCGCTCAATTCGATTGCCGTGTCATTGGTGTCTCCGAACCCGTAATCACTTGGTACATTTCGGTTTTCAGTTCATTTGACTTACTTAAGCCGCCCAAGTAGACTGACTTTTTGACGTTCGGATTTTTCACATTTAGGGTGTACCGAGGCACACCTCTGAATCAGAGTCTCAAGTATATGCAACGCTATTCAGGTCACGACTACTCCCTTAAAGTTAGCCGAACAAAGAGATCCGAGGATGAGGGCGAGTACATCGTCCGCGCGGAGAACAGCTTTGGCCGAAAGGAGAGCTCCGCCTACCTCACTGTTGAGCCTGTTCGGGAAACGACTCGAGGTGAGCTGCTACTGCCTCCACCGTGAGAGATCAATTTGGCTTCAGTCAAGAGAAGTTATTTAAAAAGATAGGCGCACGCATGTTTTTTTTTTCTTAATTTGCACCAACTGTTGGGGGATAAGGGCATGCATGCAATTTGCATAAGGAAGTAGGACACAATGTGGTGCAAAGAAGAGTAGCACTAATTTTCACCCCAATGTAGATGTGTATTTACCATTGTGCTTACAGATTAATGTGATTGTAGTGAAAGGTGTCAATTCTCGGAAGAAGTGGTGCAGATCATGGGAAATTTTGCTTACCACTGATAGGTTTGGGCTCTTTACTAGATGTTAATTTGTGGATTATTTATCTTCTAAGCAATGTCCTAAATGTGATTGACATTTCCACTGAGATATCAGTCACTACATGAACTGTGTCAGCAGTTTTTAAATTTATGGAGTGGCGTCTGGAGATAATAGAAATGAAGCAATTTGATTTATGGAGATACAAGAAAGCTAATATTGTGGCTAGTCAAAGGTTTCAAGACAGTGTAGGCAAAAAAGGTCTAAACTTGGGACTGATAAGATGGTAAAGGTGAAACTTGCATTTTTGGAGTGCTCTTGGTTCGCTGAAGTCCAACTGAAGGTGGAAAAGTTTCTCCTCTCTCTCAAAAAGGTCTGTGGCTAAAGACCACAAGACCAAAGATCACTCCCTTTGCCGATTTGTTTGCCTGGATGCAAACACGCTACTATTGCTTAATTTCTGCTCCACTCTCTTAGAACCCTCCGTGATGCCAAAGAAGAAGTTCGTTCTGAAGGAGTACGAGGTTATTCTACCGGAAGAATTCCCTCCGAGATTTTCATTATCGTTGAGGAATCGTTTTATCCAAGATGGGCATTCCGTGAAACTCACCTGTACTGCTGACGGAAATCCATCTCCACAACTCACCTGGTTCAAGGTTTGTTGAAAACTCCACCAATTTTTGCTTCATCCAAGAAAAGCAGAATATTCGGTCCAACCGTCTTATTGAATTGAGAGAGATCTGAGGCAATCAATGGTTAATTTTCTCTGTAGGATGGACATCAAATAGAGCGAGGCGGAGACTACGACATTCAGACAATGTTGGGTATCTCGTCGTTGGAGATTTACAGTTGCAGCGAACATCATTCAGGCAAATATACCTGTCGGGCGAGCAACAAGCTCGGCGAGGATGAGACTGTTTGCAAACTCGTTGTTGAACGTGGGGCACTTAAGCGTCTGTTAAGCATGCCAGTGAGTCGACTAGCTTTAAAACGAATACATTCTCGTTTCAGCGAACCGAGTGAGGCGCCTGCTGGCATCGACAGCAGGTGTCAGGGGAATGCGAGCTTCCAGCACGATGCCCTATCCTTCAACAACCTCGGATACGTACAGATCCACATCCACCTGGCGTGAGTCATCAATCACGGGAGATAGAATGGTTACCACTACTACTACCACTACTACCACTCGCACCAGCTATCGGTCATCGGAGAGACGCTCGTCGGGTCTCCGTGAGGTCTCACCTCAACAGACGTCTCCCGTCCTGCAGAGCGCCATTGAAGCACCTACCGACCTCTACGAAGGAGATACACTTGCCCTGGAGGCACGATTCCTTCCAGCGGAACCAAGTGCTAGCATCATTTGGAGTGTGAATGGACAGGTGGGTTTCTGTAGAGAGAAAAAAACCAGGCGTGAAATAAGACATGGGTGAAAATGCGTTACGAAAGGTGATCTGGGGCTTGTGTGCTATCCGATATGCGCACTTCTGCGAGTGCGCATTATATAAATTGAGCTCGAGTGATTAATCCTCCTTCATTTGGCGATTTTCTCGCGGTGTGATGAAATCAGGGCTGAGCCCTATCTAGATAATCAAAACCCACTTCAGAGTTAGATTAACACAGTGATCACAGTGACATACACTGCCTGGACTGAAAGGGGGCGATCCAGAATCAGCTTTCATTTTTAAGGGACTTGGATCATTTCCTTGCCTTTTGAAAGTGCATTTTAGGAAATTTTTGCAGAAATTGCGTAAAAGAGACTTTTAAACCTTCAGTCATTGAGAGGACGTTATCATGAAATGTGACCATGTAAAGTGAGACCAGTGGAAATGCTGTTTTTGTGGCTGTCACGGTTGCAGGAGGTGACATCGGACGGTCATATAAGCATTAGAACTTCAAGCGATGGTTGTCGAAGCACTCTCCGAATCGTCGATCTCACTCGCGATGACTCGGGCAGTTACGAGTGCAAGGCAATCAACTCCGCTGGTGTCGCAAGGACCAGAACCGAGTTCAGTGTCCGAAGTAAGTCTCTAAGATGATTTTTTGTGCCATCTTATTCAAAATTGCTTTTTTCTTTCATGACGGGCGAAGTCCTAGTCATCTCAGGTTAGATTTTGGCGCCTTTGCGGTTCTCACATTATCTTACCCATATCTTATTTAAGTCCATTAAGTTACAATCCTTCCATACTAGGAAAAATGCAGTCCATGCTGGAAGACGCAAATTCTTTTGCTCCTATGAACGACATCTCTCTCACAGAACAATTTGGAGATAAAGAGGAGTCCTCACCTCTCAATGAAGTTGTCGAGAACGGAGAACCCGTTGATCATGAATTCGGTGAAGTTGACCATGTGGACGAAGACGCCAGAGATGAGCAATCTAGCTTCAAACCCGAAGTGCCCATCTTGTTGCGTCAACTCCAGGGCCAGATTGTTGAGTTGGGTGTAGGATCGGCAACCTTCAGTTGCGAGTTCAAAAATGCTACCGGAGTCGGGTGGTCCTTCAATGGGAAGGTGCTAGCACCGGATGACAAGTATGACATCACCATGAAGGGTAGTGAGGTCATACTTACTATCAAGGACGTTGAACTCGAGGACTCCGGCATCTACGTATGCTATGCTGTCAATACCGATGGCCGTGTTACAACTGTGGGATACCTCTCTGTCAGGGGTAGGTATTCATTTCCGAGTGGGAGCTTTTCATTTAACCAACTTGCCATTTACCCACAGTTTGCTATGAACGCATCTTAATCCCAGCTCATGTTTCTCCTGTGAATAAAGACTAAAGCCACCTGCTTGATTCAACGTAACCCATTCTCTCTTCTACTTATTTTTCATCCTATTTGTTGTAGACCCGCAAAATCCCCTTCCTGGGCCACAATTCCTCTCCTTCCCGAAGTCAGTAATGACCACCGCCGATCGCCCAATTGAACTGGAATGTTCGTTTACTAGTCCTGTTACTAGCTGTGAGTTTCTTTCCACATAAGTAGTATTTCATTCTCCAATTAATTTCCTTAAGTATTCATCAATTGAGGGCATAAATTACTCCCGTAGTTTACAAAGTAAAAACTGCTTTTTATTGGCACCACAAGTGTCAATCTTCTGAATACTTTGAATATTGCATTGAGCCAATGGTGTTTTTCTAGTGATGCTATGCCAGAATGAATTGGAGATGGAGGAGGCTCAACCAGTCATCTCCGAGGACGGATTGTCGGCAAAGATTTCTCTTCCCGGAGGTGAATTAATTCCAGCCGACAGTGGAAAATACGCCATAATCGCTCAGAATGCCGAAGGGGAGCATTCGGAGTGGTGGATCGACATTCAGGTCAAACCCGCAGCCAAATTACCCTAGGGGTAGGTGATTGATCGCTTTTTCATCTTCCTCCTTCCCCCTCCTCCTTGGTAGCCTTGACTTGTCATTCTAGTGTCATTATTACCATTAAACGCATGCATACAACTAACCATGTGACTTGCCTAAGTGGGTGAGTCAGGGCTCATGTGCTTCCATTAGTAGATGTGGTGGTATATTCAAGTGTCATTAATCTCTCGTATTCATTCTCTAGCCTCTGATGTTGTTTCGTAAAGTAAGTTCGTGCATCTCCTCCTGCCGCAGATGATCTATTAGACCAGGAGCATGCAAATGAAGGGAGAGGGATCTTAAATGCGGTCGCTTTCGGTTGTAGACTCACTTCCACCGGGACAGAAATCGCTCGTGTGCTAGCAGAGGACGTGAATATAGTTCTACAACAATCTCACCAACCGTTGCTTTTGTCAAAGGGTCGTTTCGAAGATCTTCGTAAAGCGTTTTCGCAAACCTCATCCCTGTACTTAACTCTCCTCTTCCTTCTCCTCCTTATCCTCTATCTCCTACCTGCTGTTGTCCAGCGGCGCGGATACTTCTTAATGACCACCTTTGCTCATTCATATTTACCTTTCTCTCCCTCCTTCCCTCTCCTCTATCTCTCTATTTCGTTGGGTCGCCATATCAGAAGAGACCAGTCCTTCTGCTTGCCTTTCGCGGATGCTCCAAGTTAACCTACCCACCCACCCTATCAGCCTACCTGATACGAGTATATACATATTATATATAAGGATGTTGAACAGTCTATTTATTTATCCCCACACGTGAAGAGAACTTCCCAACAGTTGAAGAGTACGAAAAAAAGTTGATAATGCTATGCCTTTCACTGCCAGATGTACCCTGCTGCCTTACTGCCCCATCTCCAAATTTTTCTTCCTCTCTCAATCCTCTCCTGATTACAAATAATGCGCTAAAATACATTGTTTCGCTTATCAACTTCTTTACCCCGTTTTATGTACCACTTATCTCTCTTCCGAGAGCCTACGATATTTGCCAGTTCAAATACCTGAATGGTTCGCGTTTTACCTCGACAGGCGGGTCGCATTAGCTCTTGCCGTGAGTAACAATATTGAATTACCTTAGGTACCTCTTCAGTCACGAAAACCATCTACTTTTTAGAACAAGAGATCGTCGTGCACTGCAATGTGAGTAGTTCCACTCGTTGGACACCGAGTTCTTCATTTTAGTTGTTTTATGTTCTTCCATGTTATGTTCCTTCTGTTATTGAGTCTCTCATGGCTTGACAGTTTTGGAGGGGGCATTGAGTTCTCCACTGTGCCATGCACCCTCCCCGTCACCGGTTGGGTTCCATCCTAGCTGGTATGCCTCAAAAAACCTTGCAGAACAGTTCCGGTGTGTTCAGTCGGTGCCAGTGCTCAGTGCCTTCTATCCTTTGACCCAAGCAGGACGCACGACCGAATGTATTGACAATTGCTACAAATGCAGACTCACAAATGAGAGACTGTTGCAACGCAACCATTCAAAACGTGAAACTACCAAGCAAGGTAGCATATACCTCATGGGTATCGCTGGTCTTCCCACTCTTCTTCACGCATTTAATGGAACTGTTTCCGGATACGTACACCTTCCAGCCTCAAAGCAAGTCCAAACGATGCATAACAATTACTACAGATTGTCGGGCTAAGGAGTAAGAGGAGGGTGAGTTTGACACGATACTACGCCCTTCACCGTGTGCGTTGTGGTGACGTAGGATCGCCCTTCTGCGACTGTGTGATTCACCTTTGTCAGTTCTGAAATTTTGTATGCCCTGTTGCGTGTGTACGCGAAAGGGATAATGAAACTCTCACTGTGTGCTTGTCACTCTCTGTCACACGGACTGATCAAGTGATGTCACTCCACACTAGTCACCTGCAGTCCCCCTTCCCGAGGCTTCATGCGTCATGAGCAACTTCTTACCCATCCAAATGCGCATATTTTAATCCTCTGTTAAGTTTTAAAACTCAAATCCCACATTTTTAAACCTTAAAACTTATCCAATTTTTGTGCTCGGTAGACGTAGAATGGGTGGAAGCAAGTTTCACCACTGTTTGCATCACGAAAGGTACCCTCCAGAAGAAATTAACAACGAAATCATAAGAGGTACTGCTGAGGCATAATGATGGGGATGATTCAGGCACGATACAGTACCATTCACAAATTTGACCTTCCAATTAATAAGTAAGGGAAGCCGGTGAAGAAGAAAAGGTAGTACGATGTTCACGTGAAGTGGTGAAGCGAGGTGACTGCTCACTACCATGTCAGGTGTCTCTTGTAAAAGCATGTGTGAATTTAATTCGGGGCTGTTGGCTTTCAATCACTTCGGTTCTGCCAAAAAAGTGCCACACCGTACAAAGAAGTTAGATTTGGTGAGATGATGGTGTGGTGTGGAGGTTACCTACCCCACCGAACGAAGATTAGGTGATGAAAGNGCCGCTACATACTGGAGAAGTTGAAAAAGGAGCGAAGTGTTCTTTCAGTTGGATGTAAGGCGAATTCAAAATGCAAATTATGTCCTCTTCTTTATGCGTATACTTAAATGTTGTTTCAAGGGCCTTAAAAACACACCCTCCTCCTCTTAGCCAAACGGAATGCAAGAGAGGGGGAAAAAGAGGTAATTTTATTGCTTGATGAATGTTTGCAGAATCATTTACGGATCATTTATCAACCAAAAGGTGCTCATTTTAGATTAAATAACTCTGCTGAGCGTTTATTATCACCAATTAAGGAATAATTAGGTGGAGTGAAACCTTGATGAAATATAGGACCTAGGGCTATTCTCTCTCCCCTCTCCGTATCTACGCAATGGAGGTTGTGGTTCACACAAACACGACCTTCCGAGCAGCATAATCAGATTTAGCCTCTTGATGGAATGGCTTCTGGAATTTTATTTGAGAAATTGCCAGGATACGAGACTGTTGTGCTTGGGAGTCAAGGTGGCAAAAGTACGCGGAGCCTGTGCCTGTGTTTGGTCTGAAATTAGTGGACCCTACTACTGGTACACACAAGAGCAGGGAAGCTGGCAGCATAGGTGGCACAGGCTAAGTGAATCAAGCGCAATGCTTCCAGATTGTCCGCTAGAGCGCCATGTTTTTTGCCTCATGCAGCTCTTTATATCAAGGTTAGGTTCAGGAAAACGGCATGATCCGGACTAATTTAAGTTGAAAGTAAAAGTAGGGGCACACAAAGGGACCTTTTAAGTCCGTTTTCAGCGTACCGGAGGCAAGCTCAGAAAGCCATGTAAAATTGCCACGTGGCTACTTAATTCCAGTTGTCAGTAGCAAAGACGAAGGCAAGTAAACTGTTTAAGGACAAGATGGACTTTATGCGTAAGATTTTAGCTATAATAAGGAGGTTGAGAGGTCTAGTGTCCTATAAATGCTATTCTTTCTGAATACTCCCAATCCCCTTCCTTATTGGCGAACTACGCCTTTTTGGCACGTTGGAGATTCTGGCAACGATTATTAAGCATAAATAGATATGCGTTAGCCTGTCGATATGGCGATTTGGATTGCTTTCACTGGAATCACCGCCCCCATATCATCAAATGTCGTCTAAATTAGACCCACAGATGAGGACCCAGCCTGCCTGCTCCAAGAGTCGAGTTTAGCTGCGCTGAATTTTGCGTGTGTCGTGTGGAGAAGGCGTGATGTGCGGTCTGCATTCTGTGACTTTGACAGTTTGACTGTGGTGAGGTGACACTCAAAATAGCTGTTGCATCACACTCAAGAGGACTCATGCTCCTTCATTTGAAGGGAGGATTACGTGTCATTAATGTTTAGCTTAAATAACGAAGCAAATCTTTGAAGCTCACACCACCTGTCACGGTCATGGAAACTGTTACTCAAGTGGCTGCCGCATGGATAGTGATGGGAAGAAAACTAAAAGACCACCCCTTTGTCCCTCATTTCCTTCGCTTGAGCTGTAGATATGAATTGATGGTAGATGTTTGGCCTTCACTGTAAATCACTGTTCACCGCTTATCGCCAAACGATCTACTCTACACTTCCATTCACTTCCTCCCAAGGGTAGAGAAATGTGTAACTAGTGGGTTGCAGCAATTTCTCACCTACGGCATAACAGTCACGTCGAAGATCTGTCTACTCAAAACAGCGAAAGATGTTCACAAAAGGCCTTTTTCTAGAAATGGCTAGGGCTGAACCAGTAATTTCAGGGCCGTCTTCGCTGTCACAGATGCAAAAATGATAAACACTTTTTTCTCACCACTTTTCTACTACTTTGACGTCATATCACTGCCTTAGCGTCAGGTAAACTGTTTGTGACACGATTTAATGAAATCAACTGCCCTTAACTTACAGGGAACTTGCGCCACATACTTGTGACATCCGCTTCAGGCTAGAGTCGGAGCGTCACACATGCGTGACGCCAATTACATTCATGCTATACAACTAAAAATGTAACCTTTTGCTTTGTCGAACAAAAATTAAGAAGATTTTCTTGCTGTCTCTAAAGTAGAACAACGTTAAAAGGTGTGATAAGGAACATGGCAATCCCATTCAATGATCTCACCTAAGTACTGAGCCAGCTCGGTGTGTGTGCCACGGCTGTTTTGTCAATTTAGACTGTTGCTTAGCCACTGGAAAGCATTGGGTTAATTCTACTCCACGAACCGGCCGCAAGCGCTTGAAGGGGTTTGGTTGTCTTGTCTGACCTCACGTCGGCTTATTGACTGGATTTAGACCTTTGGACAACAATTCCACATTCCCCATTTGCAGTGCCTTTATAAGAAGCTAAGCACTTCACCATTTAACTTGATTTAGTCTCAAAGCTCCCAAATACTGTGTAAATGAAACTTTGCCTTTGAAATGAAAAATCACAAGGGCGTGTATTCTACCACCGAGGCCTGACAGGGCTCGTTGTCAGGCTCGACATAGCGTGAGTGTGCGTATGTCAGGCCTGATAACTCTGCGCCAGTCAATACAATTTCCTTGCTCTTGTCATTCAACGCTCTGGATAAGCAAAAGGATGGAACAATTCATCACGAGGTATTTTTCGGTAGGGGAATCTCACAATCCGAGAGCAAAGGCAGCAACTTTTGCCTCCCAATTTGGAAAAGTGCTGCAAAATTATGACCCTAAGAGGACACAATAACTACTTCTACAACTGCTCATGATTTTTGCATCTTCCTAGATATTCAATAAATTTATTTTAAAACTGAAAGCGGAAGTCTATAGCAGGAAATGGCCAAACATAACTTTGCATTATTATTATTCAGAATCCCAACAAAAATGCCTCAGTGGCTGTTAGCAAGTTAGTTCGATGGGTATTTTAGGTATGGCACGCAGAACTTCGGTCATTCAATCCGAAGTTAAAAAATTCAAAGTGGAATGCAACGAATTAGAGGTGACCTTCCACTTGGCTTGATTAGGCACCTTACCCAAGAAGACAAGACACAAAAATGACAAGGATACATTACTGGCCTTTTCCCAAATATATCCATCTTTACATATAAAAAATGATGTTAGTATCGAAAACCATAAATCACCGGACGAAATAGTCCTGCTTGTATGAGCGTGTGGGTCAATTCTTGCAGCAAGGAAAACGTGGAAGGCGGGGGGCAGAGTTTAGTACTCGTAGACTTCACTCAATTTGCCACCAGTTCCGTTGGTCGCGTGGTCAGCGTTGTTACTCCCGCTCAGCATCATAAATCTCTCCAACTCCCTATTCTGGTCCTGACTGTCCTCACTGTCCGACGAGGTACTGTCGTCACTGTCTTCATCACTGAAAGAGTTTTCCTCGCTGTCATCTGAGCAGTAATTATCGTAATCATCTCTGGGCACCAATTGATGCGCTGTGTACATGTAAATTGGTCCAGATTCATCCTCCACACAACCCACGAGAGGATCATGCTTGATGTAGCAAATATTCACCTCCCATGGCGTATTGTTCTCATCGAATTCCCGCGTTACCTTTCGTCCACCACTCAGGGTGCTGAGTTCTCTCGGGGCTCGATTCTTAGGTTTCCTCGGTTTCGCATTGCTGTTCTTTGATTTCGCTACTTTTTCTGCCTCCTGACCATAACAGACCACAGAGTCGAGCGTCTCTACCTTCGTCTCTGGATCGTAGGTTGTTTTGGAATAGTTACTTCGGTAGTTTCCATTAGTTAGAGTTGAGGACTCACTGTCCAGCTTCGCACTCTGTACCTTGGTCCTCTTGACGCGTTCTGGGCGTATCCTCGTTTCTGGAAGGTCCTCAGGCACTTTTGGACTGATAACCTTCTCAAGTTGTTGGGGTTCTTGAACTTTTGCAGTGGGAGGATTTGGGGCAGGTCTTCGTTTCTGTTGAGGAATGGAGGAGTGATTAGTGGAGAGTTTCCGTGTTGACGGATACGTGCCACTCACCTCTTTCTGATAGCTAACCGGTCTTGACCCGCTGCTCACAGCCGAATTTGTATTTTGAGCTAAATGTTGATGCGCTACAATCACGTTTTTTCGTAGTACACTCAGGAGATGGTTTGCGTAACCGGGACCCTTTGTTTTAACAACAACCAACTCTGTTTTTGTTCTATCTTCATTGGTGATGAGCATGAGAACTTTGGCTGGACGTCCGGGACACGAAGAGAACTGGAGAATGTTTTTGTAGGCCAAAAGTTGGACAGGTGGCCCATAGACCCACCAGGAGCCTTTAGCCAGCACTAGACCATCTTTGGTGGAATTTACTTTTGAGCTTATTCGCTTTTCATCGTAATTCTTGCCAGCGAGGATCTGCAGGCACTGGTGGTAGATGTCGCCGAGATTGCGATTTAGAAGGTCCTCACGGGGATTGATGGGCACACGCTTGGTTAGTTTGACCGTGATTTTCAAGTCAAAGGATGACGGAAGAGGTGACGACATGACTCCTGGTGGTAGTGTGTAAGTGTGGCACTTGAAATGAGTAGAGAAAAAATTGCGTGGAGGTCCACACACTCACTGATTTGTGGTGCGTGCGGTGGCTGCTGATTGGGTAGACGGAGGGGACGAATCACAAGGATCCGCTTGAATTTATGATCGAGTGATCACCCTCGCTGTTTGTCGTCTTAACAAATTCCTCTTCCACAAAGCACAAAATCCTTTTACACATTATACTAGTAATTTGTTTTCGGATTATTTACCGTGACATGAACAGATATATGCCAAAATGTAGGCCACCCCAAAGGCTGGTTCGGTTACAGACGGTGACCTAGACCATCAAGACCACTCAAAGTTCACAAAATATCTAGGTGCAAAATCACTGATTTTGACAAATAATACAATATCAAAGAAGCAAAATTTTTAAGGTATTAAGGCAAGGGATGATGGCTAGTCGTTGCAAACGATGGATTTATGCGTGCATCTTGCACGGTTTGCTATTTAGCTCCGCCAAAGGGCTTGACTACCTGGGCACGACAGGCTCTCTGGGTTGTACTCTTACCCTGCAAACAGATTTTCGGAATGCGCCGATAGTCTACCAGCCCTTCTGTACGTTAGTCACGCACGTTCTTTCGTACTTCTCTGACTTATTATAAACTCAGGGAAGACTCAGGCAGTCGTAATGCTAACTAAATCCTTTTATTATAATACATTAACAAAATAACTGATCAATCTTTTAACGACTACAAGTATGACCGAGGTTCATTCTAGTAGTTACCTGTCCAAGTTATTACACTCTACAGGCACAAGGCTCAATTTCTTATAGGCCGACATTTTGATAATCCTTTAATTCCTTGAAGGTAGTTCGGCAACGATTTGTTTAATGACTTTAATCGCGCGTGCATACAAAAAACATCAATTATTGAAACAGTAGGCAAGTTTACTAAACATATTTTCTTAAAAAGCAAAAAAGACAAAAGTAGAACAAGGGAAAAAAGGCCTTTTAAAGGCACTTAATCAAACTATTTCATTAAATTGAGGACATGCATTTCTTTCGTGTACAATTCAGGGCTAAAAAAACAGGTTCATGCACTAATTGCTCAGATTTATTTTCGTTTTGACAAAATGGCGCTTATTTTTAGTATGAAAAATAAAAATAGGGGGAGGAAAAGTTTGCAACGAATAGTGTATCTTTGTTTTATATTAAAACAAAATATATTCGTCTTTTGACTGTTTTTTCCTGGACGTGATATATGGCTTTGCAATACTCAACTTTGGGCTCAAAATGAAACATTCGCTGAGGTTTTGTATTTTCAAATATACCTTAATTATGTGCGGTTGACTTAATTCATCACTAACGTGTGCGCTTAATTTAACATTTCAGTTGCATTAGTTATACTGCAAGTAGTTGACGATTAAATAGGTTGTTCCCTTACGTTATGGCAATGACACAAATACCTAATGATATTTCTGCTATACCCAAGTTTAAAGTTGTTGTCGTTGGCGATGGTGGTGTCGGAAAGTCTGCATTAACAATTCAAGTGAGGAATATTATTTCATCCTATCGTATGGATTCCCCTATAGTATTTCCAGCACATGTTTTTGGAAGACCACAATCCCACAATTGAGGATTCTTATCTGCAAAATGTTGAGGTGGATGGTGAATGGTGTGTCCTTGATGGTGAGTTCAAAGCTTTTTGTAGAATATTTGAGACAGTTTTATGCTTGGTTTTTATTTTGCATTTATTTAGACATGCTTTATAATATGTGTCCCTTTAAATCAGAACTGCTACATACTCTTGGAGTATGGACGAATAATTTTTGTTTTGGTGACTATGTTAGTATTGGATTACTTGCGAAAATCCTAGGTCTTTCCTAGTTATTACGTGTTAGATGACAGTAACAAGCCTATTGATCCTTATTTAGTTTTAATCTCTACTATTCTATCGGCTTTGACTTCTCATTTTAGTACTTTTTTGTCGGGTTTCCTCGTATTGCTCACCTTTTTAATACAATCCTCTCATTCATCCTCGTTTGATTGTTCATCATTGAATGTTTGCGATTTCGGTTTTAGTCATTGAGTGTGGTAGTGGTATGTAAATGTGACCTTTTAAAGCTATTTTGGTACTAGCTGAGGTGCAAAATCAGTCAAATGGCTGTTTTTGTGTACCATTTGTGTGTTTTTTATCGGCTATCTTATTGTGGGCTGACTGTCTCGTAGCCCATTAGTCTAGCCTTACCCAAAGGCAGTTAAATCACTGACCCGATTATAAGTCAGAGGTTTACGGAAGTAGGCGCTTTCTCTCTGCCCCACCACACATGGATGCGATTCCTTGGTGATTCCTTTGTTTAGATGCTTTGCTATCCACTTGTTTATCATCCTCTTTGGAAAGAAGATGACAGTTGCAAATGCACTTTTTGGGTCCCGACCAAACGTCCGCACATGCACACCGTGCTGCGGCCATGCATTATGCATAAATCGGTCCTACGTATCATAGAATGTCTATTTATATCCACCTGGCCTAATTACACTTCATTCCCTCTGACGCTACCCGAAACAGCGTTTCCGAAATCGGCGTTCATGACATTTTTGGCATAAAAATCGTCGGTCATGTCATTGCTGGTATAGCCTAACCTAGTCGGAATGCAGGTCAGTGTGGTTGTGGCTGCCATATAGGGCAACTTCAAAATCGGTAACATGTTTACCACGACCTATAGGCAGAGGCGTGTCGTATGTTGTAACCTTGTAAGGTTGTAACCTTGACTGCTCCTGGTGGTAATGTAGTGTCGCCTATCGGATGATTTTGGCGGTGATACAGTGCGATAAAGCAGCAGAATTCGAGGCTAGGCTGTTAAAGCGGTAGGTCTGTGAAGCCTGTGGACTTGTAAAGGTCCTTCCTTAATTCGTCTTCTTTTGGAAAGGAAGGGGGGTGGGAGGTTAAACAATTAGCAGCCTACGCGTGTGCACGCGTAGGCGCGGCGCGTGAATGGGTGCAAACAGCACATAGACTGCCGTTCGTTCTGCCTGTCTCGCGTTTGGCACGCCCACGTATTTGCGTATGCCAGTGCCGTGGAAATACTGTTGTTCCTTGATGGGTCGAACTGATCGAAGGCTAATTTTTTCGTTCATGGATTGCGTCTATCTCCAATTCTTCCCCTTAGAAGAGAAGTCATATCATTACTTCGATTCTCAGAATTGAGATTATCTAATCGTTCTTTCAGTATCAGTAAGCTCGGACTGACATTTCGGGTGAATCAAGTAGAGCGTAATGTGTATGAAAATCGCAGTATTCTTTGCCCTATCATCTTGTCACGGAAGGGATCTTTTTTGTAGTTTGCTTCTCTTTGATATGCGTAGCTGTTAATGCCTTGATTCGGTGAAATCTCGTATCTGCTACCTTTCCTTCGTGGTATCAGTAGGCCTAAATAAAGGCCCTGTTAGATGGTACCAGTTGCTCACATTGTCTGAGAAATGTGCTAGTCATCCCACCACAAGTGTCCCTTCGCTCTATTTGTCTCTAGCCTTTGTACCCATTACTGCCTTTTCGATTTTCCACACAGTCAGTGGAACCCTTACGCCATATTTCACTGCTTTTCCACTTAGCTAGTGGGGTGTTTTAGTCCGGACTTAAATGAGCCCTTTTTCCTACTTTTGCCCAAGTACTAAAATGTTTTGGGGCTCTTCTGAATGTTGGTTCTTTTCATCTGAAGGAGAGGATTCTTGTTTTCTTCCGACCAGTGTCCCTAATCTGGCGTTTGAGCTTGTCCAACTACACTTAAAGGTAGTTTTTCTGAGCCGAGTTGCCAATTTTCTCTCGTGATAGAAAAAAAACTGTTGGTTTTCCAAACTTCCTCGGAAATGCACTGATCATTCAGGCGGAAATTCATTGGTTTTCTCTGATTCGCCTCTGTCGGCTATGATCAGTACTTGTGAGATTATCATCACTATTTTCCATTTCATCAGTCTTCGATTTGGTTGTTGAAATACTTTTTTTTCAAGAATAACTTACCTTTTCAACGTTAATCCAAGGGACTTCCTTTTACTCTGAAAACTGTGGTATCTATGCCAACTTTCGGTTTCACCGGCTCCTTCAACCACTTTTATAAACCATCTTCTTGATCGCTTTGTTCATTTTTATTTGTTGGATCTATCGACTCCAAATTGAGAGCTTATTTAGTGAAGGTACGCTCGCCGTAACCGAAATAACTTGGGTTATCGTTCGCAGGAAAATGGGTTCCACATGTCGCTGGAATTATATCGTTCCAACTCGTCGCCATTGGTTTTTGGTGGGATCGACGGCCTTCCTTCATCCCTGTCTTGCAGGGCAGGGGCCTTCTACGTAGTTGTTATCTAAAAACAACTCTCCTTATGAACTCCGCCTCAGGTTAACCATCTCTTGTACTTTTCGATCATTGATTTGCTGATGTGGTTGTTTGCTCATTGGGCGGCGATGGTGGGTTTCCATATTTGATGTGGTCTACGGATCATGAAAGGAGCCGAATAGTGGTGGGTGACGGGTGGGGGGGGGAAGTGACCTAAAGATCTCTCAATGGTTTGCTTCTTTTGCCATTTAAACTTGATGATACTACCTTAGCAAGTTGTTGCTGTTGTTTTGTGAACGTCCATCAAGGACGCCTTCTCTGTTGCCGTCCTGTTTGTAAGTAATGAGCATGCCATCGGCAAAAAATGCTGCCAGAAGATGGTGGAAATGTGTCATTCTCAATGGGACGTTTCGACCCCTCCCATTCATATTGAATTTTTAAACTCTTCAAAGTGTGTTTCGATGTTACAGTTTACGTGGTTGATTACACAGTAGGCGCTGAAACCGACTTGGTCTTTGTGTTTCGGTTGGGTAGCTCAAATGTTGCCAAGCCGCACTTGGGAAGATGATTTCAATCTGTTTGTCAGGTTTTTGAATGGGCATCGTAAGTGCACAAGTGTTGCCCCCCTTAAAGACACTTTATACGCATCAGTCTGGAGGTCGATGATACGGGATACGATGATACGCATATACTGCGTAATACGGTCTCTTTCCTCTGAACGATCTTCTCAGTGCTTCTGGTGATTACTCTTCCGCGTTCTTCACCACAACAGTGCTCGAGTGAGGTAAAATTAATCAGGCAAAATTGGCGATTATACGGTGATTTTCCATCACGTCAGGGAAATCGCCTAGCTCAGGGATTGTATGCGCAGTTTATTTTAATAGCCCAATCCGTACTATCCTATTTGTAAACTGCATTACGGGACTTAAAAACTCTACGGTACCCCGCAGTCAGGGCTCCTTGTACGGCGAATTCAAAGACGCGTTTTGAAATTACGCGGTAATTTCATCCCCTCATTCCATTTTTTCGTTACTCAGTTGTATATTTTCAGCAGTGATATGAGCAGCCATCTTCTGGAGGGAGTGGATTTGTGCAATGCAGTTCCCCTACTGTCACCGGCTTCGGCATTTGCTATAGGTCTCTACGGGTCTAATCATCCACTACATCCCAAGCCGATCCACTAGTGTGTAAATCCTATCCTAAAACATTACCGAAACTAGTAACTCCAAGAGCGTGGAACTAGAGAAGCTACCTTTGAAGAAGGCATTGGTGTGGACTGACTGACATGCGAAGGAGAAATCCATGCTACTCTCGTGGGGCAGACCGGGGTAGTATTACACCACAATTACTTTCTTCCCACACCCTTGAGACGTAGTACAGAGCCATCTCAGCTCTTACAGAGCAAATGCTCAGTCAGTGAAATTGAAGAGAGTAGGTATCAAATTTTTGTCTATAATAGTTATTGGTATTGACAGCCTTTCTCACAAAATCTGTTGAATGAAAATTAGCCGTTTCCACCTCACCTGGAAAACGACTTCCTCAATTCAAATGCCAAGGTGTGGTGCCCTACGACGATGTGTGTTCTCTGGGCTCTCCAATTCCTTACTTTTTTTGTTTACTGCGGTCGTAATACCAGAGGTGGGGGTTTTTTTGCCACTCTTCAGTGAATATTCTCCAGAAGAAGGTAAAGTTAGGACTCGATTTCCTGAATTTTTTGTTGACTTCAATGAAGCGAAAAATCCTCACGCCTGCAAAAAGGTGTACATAGGTTGTCGAAGCTAAGATATTGTCTTTGGGTTAATTGGAACCGATCTTGCGTCTTCGTATCATCGAAGGTGCTTTCAAATCCAATGCTAGTGGTACCTATCGTAGATTTCGTCGGGGCTCACTAGTCATGCCCTCTCTAAGGACTTCAATGAGATTAACCGCCTACTTCTCACTTTGTTTTCATTTTTGCTATCACACCCATCTATCGCGGTTGTCCCCAATCTTTCAACATTCGAAGATGTCGTGATAGCGTAAAGAGTTATTTTCTCATACAAGAGTTTGAGCCGTTAAGCACATGTCTGGCTTCGTTACTGTGTGTGTTTTGTCATCGCGTGGATTTCGGCAGGTTCACCTGCCCTTATTGAGCACCGCCTAGGTGGACCGATGTTCTTCACTCCGTGAGTCAGAGAACTGACCTTTCACTAGTCGCAGTCATTATTCGTTCAGTTCTGTCTGCGTCTGGCTATTAATGTCACAATGGAGTGAATCCCAAGTATCTCAAACGAATTCACTTCAGCTCACCTCTCTCTCTTCCTCCGTCTTCGTGCAGTGTTGGACACGGCAGGTCAGGACGAGTTCAGCGCAATGCGAGAGCAGTATATGCGCAAGGGTCACGGCTTCATCATTGTCTATTCGGTGACGGACCAGCAGAGCTTCCGGCAAGTGCGCCGTTTCTACACCCAGATTCTGCGAGCACGTGATCGCGACTCCTATCCCATGATCTTGGCGGCTAACAAGATCGATCTGGTACAACAGCGAGTAGTCACTCCGGAGGAGGGACAGACTTTAGCTCAGGAACTCGGTGTACGTTCATCTTCTCTTTGTTTTTCTGTAGCACCTGAATCACTCCTGAAGGGGTTGTTGAGGCCTAGGTTGGTCTAAAACGGTTACCGCAGTTCTTTCATCTTCTCTTGAGCGTCCTTCTCAGGACTTCCATAATTGCTCTTCTGTCCCAGTTATCACAATGGAACGCTTCCTTATTCCACTCTTGTCTTTCATCGCACAGTCATACATCCAGCTCTGTAGCTTACCATGACTTTGGGGTGCCTTTGAAGATTTGATGTGGCTTTTAGCCACCTCTTCCATTATGAGCCTCCACAGACTTAGCTTTCTGGCTGGAACAGCCACTCCGCCCACTTCTTTGCTCTATCATTCGGAATCGGTTGACACGTGCTCGTGTCATACATGTGTGACGGCCTGGTTGTCTTGGCTGGGTTCTCACGTCACACATATGTGACACTTAGTGGGAAGGCAATCGGCTGAACTAGGAAGACCATGCAAAAGCATTCGGACTGTCCTATTGGGAGGATAAAATACTTGGATGGCTGTGGCTGTCGCTTTTCGTTTTTTTGGGGCCCTGGTGGTGGGTGTACTTATTAATCAAGGTGGTGTTGTGGCTGTAGTTTGCGCTATGACTCATTCTTCAAGCTGTGTGGCTCTTTCATTCTCCAACCAGGCTAGAAGTGCAGGATGCATCAGTATTCACTTATACGATCACATTGGCTTGACGATAACGAGAGAATGGTTGATTGGAGCCAGTATAAGTTTAAGCACGGCTCTTGAGACGGCAACCATATTTATGTCTCGATGGCTTCAGATTAGGTGAGTTGGGGGTCAGATGATTGTGAAACCCTTTTGCCGTTCATCTCAGTTTGCATGGAAAGGGAAACACACAAGAACCCTCCTGTACCCGGGATATGATGATCGGAAAAGGAAGATGAAGCGTGGCCTAACTCGTGTCACTTCAAATTGATGTGAGTGCTGTCTTCCCTTTTCAGGTGCAGTACATTGAGACCAGTGCAAAGAATCCGCCAGTTAATGTGGATCTAATCTTTCACGATCTCATTCGGATCATTCGGTAGGTTCTGCTCTAGCCATCATGTTTACCTCGTTCAGTGTGACGATTAGCCTTGTTCTTTCTGCGTCAGTGTTTTGCGACATTTACTCGTACGCCATCTGCTATGACAAAGCCACGTGTCGCTTCTGCCTCGTGACAAAAAAATCAACAGTTTTTTTCCTGGCTGGTTCGGGCCAGATGCTTTAAAAGCTACTAATTTGACCTACTACTTGTGAAAACCGACTGAGTCATATGACAACTGTATTGAAGTGTTTGAATGGCCTGCGAAGGCTTGGAAGTAGATAGAGAGTGAATGTCACACCACGTGTTTGACAATCTGTGGAAAAAATGGGGTTCTACTGAATAGCAAATAAGTAGCGTTTTGTGTCTTTAGGAAACAGCCAGCAAGTCCTCCACCGGCGAGTCAGAAACGACGAACAAGGAAAGTGAAATGCACCTGCCTCTAGGGGGGTGACTACGCAGAAGAAGGCTTCTGTGATTACTCCACCACTGCCTCCCCTTCTCCTTCCTGTGGTGCGTTTTATCGCACCTTGCGTTCCTACTGAGCTTGCCGCGACAATGTCGACCACCGCTTGATCGAGTCGCTCTCTCCAGTGCATGCGCCCATTGAAAAATTTTCTCTCGTCTCCTCATTTGTTCCCGCGTGTCCCCCTTTCAAAATGTTTATTTTTAAACATTTTGCACACTGAATTTGTAAATATTTATTTGTCCTATTACGCAATGTTGGTCGCTGATATTCACGTGTAAGTAATGTGACTTTCCTCCTCCCTTCATCACGAGATGAAATCGGTCTCCTCTCTCTCCTCAAAGGCTGATAAATCTGTTTTCCTGCTAATTCGTTTCCCCCGTCTCCTCCTTCCTCCTGCATATGCACAAACAAACAAAAACATGTGAACACATATGCCTCGATTCTTTTTTCTGCTGGTGGTCGTGGGTTCGCTTTTGCCCAGACAGTTAGTCCGTCCAATGTTAGCATTCCTGAGAGCGTGCTGTTTGACTTCATCGGCTTTGTACCGCGCAGGATTGGACAATACTTCAACGGCTGGTTGTTAAAGCACAATCACTTCGTAGAACACAAGTTCTAGTAACTTCAGCGTTCGTTCCTTCCTTCCATGTTATTCTCTTTTGAACAATCTGGAGTCATTAGCAACGTGGAGGAGATACCGCTTGTTTACTTTATTCACATATATTCATACGATATCCACAGACTGCATCAGGACGGGAGGTTTTGCGCCATTTGTGTCTCGTGCTGCAAATCACGGGGCAAATGGATCCTCGAATCAGACCAGCCAGAGCGCATGCACACTGCGACGTTTGGGTTTCGCATCCAGTGACAGTTTTGAGGTTTCTCTTTGTCCAGACCGCTTTTGCTTACCACTGTCATCGGTAGCGCGCCCCGATGCATTCCGGAGTACGTAACATGACACACTGGGGTAGAAGGATAACTTCCTACCGGACTGGGAGGCTCTAGGTGTGGACGACTGTCTAACCCTTGAACTCTTCCCAAACGCTTAGGCTCTGTGGCCGGAGGGGCGATATCCACCGCGGAGTCCGGGGCAAAATGTCAAAATGTCAGTGCCTTAGTCCACAATGGCTTACCTTTTTGGCGTCGTTAACTAACACCCGCTACTAACCCACTTCTGACCAATCGCACAAAGTCTTGCCACCGACAGACTGTCCAGACTTAAAATACATATCACACTCTTAGACAGAAAACAATCACAGCTTCCTAGTTTTCGAGACATACTTAGTGTCCCAACCGAAACAATCACAATTGGTGCTATACTTGAACAATTAAACTGTCCGGCCTGTCACAGATTGTTTTTCCCCGAAGCTCAGGTGACGATCTTGCTGATCGGTAGTGAGGCAGTTAATTCCGCCACAGACTCCTTACACAAACCCGAAAAGGTTATATTTTATCGAAGCTGGTCACAAAATATCATGATGTCGCGTACACACATTGATGGGTAATCAAGTGAGAGAAAAACTACAAAATTGAAGGAGGGAATGAGTTGGGACAATCAAGCGACTGGAGAACCAGACGGGTCATGGGGTGGTCACCATCTCTCTGGCTTAAGCAAGACGCTTCTTGCACATCTCAACAACCCTCTGCGCCACCGCCTCCTTCATTTGATCAATACTGGACTCATGGAGGACGATGGCATGGCCCTCCATCGTATTGTTGTGCACCGCATTGCGCCAGGCCGCCTCTAAAGGAACAAGTCGCTCGTCCACCTTGTCCATCCCTTGCACCGGATCCTCCATGCCGGAGCACTCGACAACGATAGTGAGAGGAGATGGCCATGAAGATGTGCGTTGGGCGATTGATGTTGTGGTATGCAACTACGCATATAAAAGAATTATAATTTAACTATTTGGCTACCGCTCACACCTCCAAAAGCACAAGTCATAGATGTGCCTGGTTTAAGGATAACTGTACTTCTTAATTTTCGAACAACATTTAGGTCGGCCAAAGAATAAAGGAGATTGACGCCATATTAGAATGATAAAACGCCTCGACTGTGGAGGTCAGTTTCCGACTGAGACACACCTACGGTAACAAAAGACGGCTAAAATTGTACCAAAACGAGCACTAAAAACGAGCATTCGAAAACCCCGTTCACTACAGAGAACTGTTAAAGTAAAACGTTCTTCTTTCATATTAGTTGATTATTACGGAGGCTATGGTACATTTTATGAACTTGTGCAATCAAAAGTCAAGTGGATCGTCTTACACACACACACGATTTGGTATTCAGGCAGCAAAAAATTCTGATTCCTGTGGTTCAAAGATCAGCAGGGGTTTCTTAGAAGATTACTATAGACCTCCTTCAGCATGTTTAGAACAACATGCAAGCACTTAAGATTTTGCCTTTGTACGTCCGCTAGGTGACTTGGCCTTTGTGCCTTGCCAGTAGCCTCTTAAGCCCTTCTCTACATAAGGGCTACGCAATCTCGCCAAAGCTTTTCACACTTAGTTTTACAGGAACTACCTCTGTTTACTCTTAGCTAACTGATAAATTTATGAATAGGCGGAATTAAACAACAGACCCTGACAAAAAAGCCCTATTACGCATCACTATGACCTAGATCGGTGAGAAAGACCAAACCGACGCGTGGTGTCGGTTCTAATAAACATATCAACCCAACCAGACGCATGTGTTCGTTCATGAAGATGCTAAGACTAAAAGTTCAAGAAAGGTAAATTAAATTTGCCAGAATTCCTCAGTGGAATTCTACCACATACCCCTCCATGAGGCCGAGAGTACGATTCGAAAGCGCCTAATCTTATAAGTCCTCGAGAAAGCTGCGTTTTACAAAACCCTCTTTTAAATACATGTATTGATAGAAAAACAGAGAGGTGGACCCCGGCAGAGGTGCAAAATCGCCTTGTCGACTAATTGCACCACCACTTTATGGACACGGGTCCTAAGACCAACACTTGGTCATGCTTCGACAAGTCCAGCACTTTGATTTGCTTGAGCCAATGACGAAAAGGTTGCGTCACGCAACACGATTGGTCCAAATTATCAGTGGGCAAAGTAAACACTCTCAGACATCCCTCCTTGTGACTTTCTGACACAACTAGCGCTTTTGGGTACACACCAGTGCAAAAGGCCCAGAAATCCACTAAACGAGGTTCAATTTTATTTAGTCTTAGTGAATACATGTGACCCCTGATCTTGGCAGTGGCCCCGACATCAACAAACAGCTGAATCAAAGTAGCGGAAACCGACGCGTGAGCTGCCCTGGTTTCAACTCCAAATCTGGTGGCCTGTATGTAATTTAATAACTGCAGTCCCACGGTTCCTCAGTGGGCTGATAGTAGGCTCCTCCACTTCACCGAAATGCGTTATTACGTCTTCCGTAATGACTTGGAGGGCTGTATTGGTAACAACGGTAAGCACACTCGGTCAAAATAAACAGAAACCTCGAAAACGACACCAAACCCAAACACCACCAGCGACATGTGTTGTGAGTGGCTTAATCAGGAAAACTCGCTGGTCAGGGGTTACCAAAGCCACGTTCACTTTTGGCACTCGAAAATCAGCTTACCAAATTCTTGTTGATGTAAGAGTACCTCTCTGAGTCTTCCTTGAGCAGGGTGCCGTACGTCATAAAACTTATCCAATTCTCTAAAACTCCGACCGTCTCCACAGTCAGGTTAGTATCACTCCCTTGGGCCGTTTTGTCCTTCGCCTGGAGACGGTAGAACTCCAGTGCTACAGCAAATGCCCAGGAGAGAGAGGGTGGCGTTGCTAGGAGGAATTTTACCTTAGGGTTGAGGGTGGGAACACCAAGACGCACGTTAATCGGCCAATCGTCCGAATGCTGGTCAGCTTCACTCTGGTGTTCGATGAAACGTTGGTCCTCTGCGGGACACAGGCCCAAATGAAGGTTTGGGATGACAGCGAGACGGCTTCGCAAGCCCTCGAAAGTGCGTTTGATCTTCAGGAGTGAACGCCAGGAACAACCAAAGGGGGACATCCCTTTGGCTCCCTCACTGAAGGTAGAGTACTTATCGTGGACGTTGAACTGCGATAAAGGCGGAAGAAGAGCACGTTTCAAAGTACTTGGTGAAACAGGTGATTTTTTCGAATAATTGGACTCACTGGAGGAAGGCATCTCCACCATATAGGATTAGAAAAGACTTGGGCTTGAACAGCGTCGACGGCACGACGATCCCTTTTTGACTCATGGATGTTGCCTTGTAGGTAAGTGACGGTTACAGGAATGTCGGGAAACTCCTTAGAAATGAGCTCCAAGAGACGTTTAGCGCATAGCCTCAGGTAGTGGTCAACTTTGGATGTAATGAAGAAGGTACTGGGAACTAGATCGATGTGGGCAACGTGGTAAGATGCCTTAGACGAAGACATTGATTTCGACGGATTGGTCACATCGAACTCGCTCCCGATTGAGCTATCGTAGCTTGAATCCGTCATGTTGAAGGATATTCAAATTGCTGAAAGGTCATGGGTTATAATATCTGATCGTAAACGTAGAAGGAGCGGATACGACCGCAATTTAAGAAGCCAACCATCAAATGAAGACGCATGAACCTGTCCTGTTTGATAGAGGGCTTGAAAGAATATACCGGACGAGTAGACGAGTGCAAACAATAAATTACTTAGGTTCTCAGTAAATGCGGGCTTACCTGCAGAAGAAAAACATAAGTCAATTTGTCCGCATACAAAGAATTGCAACAAAAAAAGAGCGACAGAAGCTAGTAGTTCCGGCACATCAAAAAATTGGCCGTTAAAAACAAACACAAAGCACAATTGGTACAGGCCCAAGATACTTAAAAACATAACGACCAGAAATATAGCTTCCAAGGAAGAAGATAAGACAAACTTATTCACAAGAAGAAAAATAGAATAAAAGAGCCGCTTTGCAAGCGCGTACAAACAATTTGTGAAAGATTCCGGAAAAGTCGTTAACTTGCTTCGTTGTGTAACGAGAAAGGGGGAAGAGGGGAGTCTTACTGCGCGCCAGAATACGAAGAACCAGTCAGGGAGCCCAAGCTTCACCAACATTGTCACTACCCGATGTTAGTAGTAGCGCTCAAATATTTAAAATGAGTTCAAACGACCGTGATATAATAATAGAAAGGCAAAAATGCAATAGTATGCACCAGTAAGAGCCTGTAGAGACGAATTTAACAAACAAAAATACTTGCAATATTTCCTCCTGTAGGACGTTTCAAATACTGCTTCGTACCAAAAGTTTATTGTGCATACAGAAGCGATATGAATGCAAAACATTAAAAATGCTGGCCGCACAGCAACACACATACACGAAGAATTAGAAAGGCATAGGTAGTAAAAAGACTGGTATAAACACCCCTATAGTATTTTCTTTTCAAAGAAAGGACTTCTGGAAAAAATACTACTGAGTACGACTACTGAAAGTGAAACTTCAATAGTTCACTTTCCTATGCAACTGGGCTAATGTTCGTAAACCAAATCGAAAAACACTACGTCTCATAATATACAAAATGTATTCAAAGAACAGTAGCTTAATTGGCACTTAAAGGAAATTAACAGGCGAAATACAGAGGAACCTAAAAATTATTCAGGAGAGCGGTCGAAGGTATGATAAGACCAAAGAAAAATGTGGAGGTGCATGTTTTGTTAAAGAAAACCATGAATACCTTGGCACCAACTGAAATGCCGAACACGGCACATTATCACATAACCCACCTACAGAAATCAAATGACCACGCAAATAAACAACGCCCTCTTATACCAGTGATAAATCTAAACAATCATTAATATAAAACTCGATGTTAAGGCCATAATTACGCAACAGAATCATGCAAAGCAAGGCTATAAAATGTACCAAAAACTACTAGGTAGTGCTTAACGCTACTTAAGCCAATACAACCGATGTATAAATTATAACTACAATTCTAAGAATTATTCTTATAAAGTTTTTTTTTTAAAAAGATTTTGTAGCAATTAAAGATATTGTGTGGTAATGTATTGAAATTTGCCAACATCTGGTTCTCAGCATATCGAAATTTTGCTCTGTGGCATTTGATTTTGACTATACCAAAACATTCGGTAATCTAAAAGTCGATGATATGTGCTTCTTGCATTACGATAGGCTGTTGCAACTCTAAGGATGACTCGGATCATTACGTTATAATTGTGGGCGAGAGGTGGTCAATATCATCCCTTATCCATGTATGATAGTTGATGTGTAAAGCATTTGCGTGTTCTTTATTTTGATACGCCTCAGCTGTAGCGCCTCGAGTTCTCTGAAGAGGAAGGAAGATACAATAACCTAGCAGAATATGCGTATTCATATTATAGAGGGGGTTTGAGCAATTGACATAGCCCTGGGGGCAACTAACCCGTCAAAGGCACCATAGCTAAGGCCAAAGGTGATCCACTGCTAAAACCGAGGTCTAAACAAGCAAAATTCAAATCACAAGGCCAAAAAGCAAATTTGTTACTAACTGGAGTGTGGCTTTAATTGATGGCCGATATTTAATTTTGCTGTAAATTGCAAAAAAGTAAAATGATTTATGTAATACGATAGTGGTTTATCCCTCGGTTCTGGTGAGGCGCCACTTTTGTACTTCGAATTAGCCCCCTTGTACCTCGCTGGGTGGGCTGGCCTTTTGGGCCATGCCAATAGCCCAGACACCTTCTCCGTGCTGAATATATATATATTCTGCTTGAGTATTTTGTCTTCTTCCGTCTTCAGAGAGTCCTTGGACGCTACATAAGCGCTATTTCTACCTAATCGCAAAGCAAGACTTATGATGTCACTATCATAAAAAATTTGATCGGATTTTGCAAGATTAAAGCCTTTTTGGGTGCGTTTTAAAAGGTCTAAATGTAGCGTCCCGAGACTCACTGAAGACGAAAGAAGACAAAATACTCGGGCAGAATATATATATTCAGCACGGAGAAGGTGTCTGGGCTATTGGCATGGCCCAAAAGGCCAGTTCACCCAGCGAGGAACAAGGGGGGCTAATTCCAAGTACAAAAGTGGCGCCTCATCAGAACCGAAGGATAAACCACTATCGTATTACAAAGGCGCTGATAGGGACATTCAGGTCAATACCACAAATGACTAGTGTTAGTGATTTTTGGGGCTTTACGAAACTTTTTTAGCTAATGTTACCTTTTAAAATGTTTCTGTAAAAGTAAAAATAAAGTTACTTTGCATTTGCAAATTTTTTTAATTTTTTGTTTCTCTAATTTAAAATGGTGGCGTCTTGCTTGTCTGGTTGGGGCTTTACGTGTTACATCGTGTATTACAACAGCGTCTTTGCTTCTTCAACCTCTGGAACGGTTACTGGGGCTTTTTACCAAAGGGACACATAGTGACGTTTGATTTAACATTTGTGTACTTGACTACTTTCGCCCAAAATATTTAAGATACTGAGTTTTACTTTTATTACGTGGATTCTTTCGTGAACTGCTTCCTCATCCGGTGATTTATTTCTTACTCTGTGCTGTCGAAGCATTTTTTTGCTTTTTGCTTACCCTAACTGGTGTGCAGGTTGTTTTGTGTAAAATCCATGTTTAAATATATTTCTGGGGAACATGTCCTGTGTACCTAGGATACTTCATTGTTTCTTTAATGTTATAGATTAATGGATGACCTCTGTTTTCGTACTAAAGCTGTTGTCCAGAAGGTGCCTCAGGACCTCTCTGAACTCGAGCATTTGATTCGGTCTTTGCGTTCCATTGACGCTGACACAACTCCAATCACCCGCAAGGAAAGCCAGATTGCACAGAATATTGATCTCGTGAGCTAGTCCATTTTGCTTTGTTCGTTCTATTTTACTTGTTTCTAATTTGATCAGCTAGCCTCTTGGTGTTTTTTGGGGAGGCACCTACGCTCTTAATCCTCTAATATTTAACGTAGCTTGACTCTCATGGCATGCATGGAGGCTTTTTTGTTTGTCTTATCAAATCTATTGAAAATGTCTTTTTTGTTCTGCATCGGCCTGCTTTTCTTTTTAGCCTTCGTTTGAATTACCCAATGAATAGCAAGTCCCGATTATTTATAATGAAATAAGGATTTTTCGTTTAGGCGTTGTCCAACTGCCAGCGACTACGTGTTTTATCAAACAACGAGCCGCCCTCCAAACGAAAGCAAATTGAGTTGGCTGTGAGCAATATACAATCAGAATGTCAGCATCTTCGAACAAATTTGCAGACTCTTCAACGAAAACGGTACGTCACCTTCGTATCTCGATCTTTTACCAATTATTATTTATTCAAAAACGTATGCATGCAGTTGATGATATCACTTTCCTTACCACCTAAATGAAGTTTACTGTCGAACACTCCCTAAGCGGATTCGTCTTTTTGCATCGCTCCGTCCCTAAATCCTTCCCTAAAACTCCATAACTGTTTTATTTTGAAAGGCAGAACTCATGCCTATTATTCTTAATTATTCATAACGTAGGCTCGGTTACTGGTTTCATTTTATGTCTTTCTACATCTTCAAATGATAATTTCGTTGTCATTTTGATGTGTAAAGAATGTTTATCAAGCTTAATGGCCTACGAGTTAGCTCTATACTATCAGTGTCAATGAAATCACGACTGGTAGGACGGTTCAAAATGACAAATTCATTAAGAATTTTGGGCTGATCCTCATTCTCACAGAAGAACAAGTTTATCCTCCGATTTCGATGGGGAGCATTAGACTCAAGGACAGTTTGGCCTTCTGCCTTACTCACTGCTCACCAGCTACAGATCATGCGGGGAGGAAATAGGGTAGAATTGAGGAGGAAGGCACAGCTTGATCGCTGGAATAAATGTTTTTATGATTTGTTCCTTTAAGAGCAACGCAGGAGCAAGAACTGATACACCGTGCTAGTCTTTTCTCTTCTCCGGTGGGTGTGACCACCGCCAACAATGGTGGTGCTACTGTCCTACAAATTGACACCGAAGTAAATGAGTTCTCCCGACTCCAAGCAGTCAGCCGGCGACTCGATGAAATGCTCTTCGGTGGTTCTGCCAGTCTCGAAGCCCTGAAGTTTCAAGGGTAAGTGGACCTACTTATGGAGCAGCAAAGCTACTTGGATTGTACGAGTAGGTAGATGTTTTTGCGAGAACCAGAACTGACTTCAGAGTTGCTCCATTTCAGAAGCACGCTTAAAAACTCTCAGCGACGCTTGCTCGATCTAGCGAACACTCTGGGCCTCTCAAACACAGTGATGCGCCTTATTCAACGCCGAAGCTACCAGGATAAAGTGCTATTCTACGTCCTTGCTGGAGGAGCACTAGTCGCTATGTACTTTATATGGTATTTCATCCGTGGTTAATGTGTACCCCTCCATTTCTGCCCTATCGTCTTTCATTGAAGCCTGCCGCAAGTTGACTGCCTCGCCAGCTCTTGAGATTCCCGTGTTTGTTGGCGAAGAAAAGTTGTTTGTTTTCTAATGACTACTCCTCGTTGGGTAGTTGTAGTGGCTCGTGATATTCTCCCGACTTTCAGTTTCAATTTCGACACTGTGTCGTCGACTTCAACTGTTTTTTTGCCAGATTTGGCCTTGTCGCCATTCCACGAAATGGGAAGTGTCTGATCCAATGGGGTGTTAAGTTTGTTAGTCTAGTCTCTGCGTTAGTTCCACTTGCAGACATATGATTTTTATTTACCGTGAAGATGATGAATACCAACTCTTTCTAATGTGGCGTATTGACACGGGCTTCACGTAACTGATGCCGTATTTCCTTTTGACCTCTCATGATGAGACACTTGCACCATTGCTATAGTGTTCTACTTATGCTACTATTCTTCCGATCTTGATATGCATCAGCAGAAAAGTTCTATTTAAGAGTGGCAAATTGAATCTCAGATGCGCTAAATCAATTCCAATTCTACTGGCTGGTTGAATGGCATGCTCTATGGAGGGTTGAATGTACGAACTTGGCAAGGGGACCTCTGAAGTCGCACCTACTGCGTGGCCCTGTATGGACTTGGGAATCTTACTATCCTTTTTGGCATTATTGCCAGAACAACGGTAGATTATGCGCATCACCGGAAGACTTGGTTTCTACCCATCGTGGAAGAGACTGATGGGCGACTGCGTAGGATGAAAATGGGAAAAGGAGCAAAAGTACCTTACACATGGCCAGTAGCTGCTATTGTGCTTTGAATAGATCCTTTCAAGATGGGTTAATCTGACAAGGTACTCCGTTACTCAAGAACTAGGGCTCCAGGCTCTCATAGAACTTTGAATAATCTTTGTTTCCCATTGGCGATTGGTTTTGGTTCGCTCAAGTGATTTTAGGTGATTGTAGCTGGAGAGCAGCCAGTGAGGTGGTACTGGCGTCTTCCACAGCCATTTGTATGTCTTGTTACGTGACTTGAAGCCTTACTTATGGCACCCAAACTAATGATCTTCTTGTCTGTCCGCCTTAAAAGGGCTTAAAGATTACTTCAGAAGCTGCCTTATTCCACTCAGCACTGGTCAGTACGGTTTCATGGTGTAATATGGTCAACCGCATATCGCTACAAGTAATTGTAAGAAGTTGTGAGTGAAAATGCGATTGACCAGGTGCTGAGATGGACTGTCAATAAAGGCAGGCAAATAGCCTTTCAGACTGTAGATCGGAGGTTATTTTGAAGCCAACTATATCCCCCAGACTCGAATCAACCGACGAGTACAGGAAAATCATTCGGTTCCTGTTCAAAATTGGAAATCTGTCGTCCCTTTTCAGCTTCATTGGCAACTGGTGTAAATCTTGTCGTTAGCACTAAATCAGCCATCATCCGCCGTACAACCGAAACACTTCTTGAAGGCAATGAAGCTGCTTTGAAATTTGGGTTAAAGCAAACCTAGAAAGTACCAGGACATTAGTAAAGGAGTGCATAAGGCAAAAAGACTGTTACACCCCGATTATAGAAATGCATGGAAAGGTCATATGTTCTACTTTGCAGGGACTTTTCCCCTTACACTTCTGTAATGAGTTCCCATGGCATGTCGGAGAAGTTGAAATTTTGTCATCCATAAACCCCCATGGTTGTTACGGTTATGGTGAGAGAGGACCCATTTGAAATAAAAATCCAGTGGTTCGGGTAAAAACATGATGTCTGAGGGAAATCTGCAAAGACTTTACAAAAAAGCGAATTTATTCATGAGTTAGAGCCAACGGCGCCAGGTGGAGTGGATGTTACTTTGTAGTAATGCAGTTTGACGGAGGCGTCAGGTAGCGTATGGCACTTTTCTAGCACCCAAAATGATGGAGAAAAGTTAAGGGCTTGGATATCTAATAATCATAGCAAAAAGATATAAATAGCTCGCAAATACTGATGTACTTACTGTGGTTATATAAATGATTACTTTTTAGAACTCCAGGACGACTCTAGAGAAGATTGCAGACATAATACTCGGGTAGAATATACATATTCTGCATACAGCAGGGGAAAGGCCAGTGACTCGGTCCAGAGGCCGACCTACCCAGCAAGAATACAACGGTAGGGATTTAAAGTAGCTCATTTGCCAAAAAATCAGAGTTGAACAGCCTTCGTGTTACCCAGCCTCTATTCCCTTTTAAGCTTCTCCTCCGGTGCTCCCTTCGGGCAGCCTCCCACATAAGCCATCACAACGCAGTCGGTGGTGTAAGGAAACACCCACAAGCCAAATGTGCCAGTCATCAAATTTCTATGTAACTAGGGAGGTACTTGACCGCAGCATCACCGATCCCTCTTTGCAGTTCTACCGGATCTGGAGTAGCATCCTGTATGGGAACCGGATATGGGCTGGGAAGATGTGCTGGCCATCGCATATGTCCACAGGTCGTCGTAGGAACACTGGCCCAGAAACGGTCATTTAACAAAGGACAGGAATGAATAGAGTTCTGTGACGATAGAGTTTCGTTACTATTTCTCCTTGCCATGTTGTTTCCAGAACTGCCCAGCTATATCCATCAGGGTTCTATACATATAGTAGAGAGGTGGAGCGGATACCACGTGTTCGCATAATTCATATCTGTACACAGGTAAGATAGACAGATTCGTAACGAAGCCTTTTTAGATGGTCCATGTCTAGTGTCGCTTCAGTTTTGAATAGTTCTGTATTCCTGTGGAATACAGAACTGCGGTAGTTGCCGAAAGTAGGGCGTCATTCTGAGCTCTCTCGTTGCGAGTCGTCATCGTCTCTCCCACCCGAAACATATGTACTTCCTCCGCCCCGCTAAGATTTTTTGACCGGCAGTAGAAATGACGGTAGCTACACTTTTATGATCTGGTTTGCTTTCCGCTGCCACCAATGTAGCGCTCCAAGACGTCTCTGAAGGCGAAAGTATATATAATACCTAGGTAGAATATGTACACTCAGCCTACAGCAAGGCAGGAGCCAACGGTACGGCCCAGGGGCCAGCCTACCCGGCTAGAGCACAATGGGGAAACCTCAAGTAACCCCTTTACCCGACTCGGGAGTTAAACAAGCAACTAACGTATTTCAAGTTACCCTGCCTTTGGAGGCGCTCAACGCCACCCCTAAGAGGGAAGGGAGAGCAATACTCACCATACCTTTGAGAATATATCAATAGAAAAGTAATCCAGATGGAAAAAGTAGGAAACCCGTAGTTGATTTATTGCAGTCAAACAGGAGAAGGTACTAAATAAACTTTACTCCGAATTCTTTCATACTTTGATGGGAGCTTAATGTACCCAGGAATAGAAAATTTAAGTGGTTAATTATTGCTAAAATGCTTAAAGTTAATCGGATTTATTCATAAATGTTTTGACCTTTTTACTCCCTATAACTAATTACCGCTATAACCATTGTCCAATGGAAATTATGAACGTTTAGAAATTCGCCGGCTTGAATCCACAGTTCTCTAAAGTGCTAATATTTAGAGTGTACACTTTGTTCTAGTCTAATAAGGTGTGAAATTGCTACTTCTCTCTCCTTTATGAACAAAAAAATAATGATTCATAAATCCTACTTCGACTTTTGAGGATGAACTAGGAGTAACTCTTCAAAATTGCATAGAATGCCAACGGTGGGAATTGAAAATTATGGTGAATGATCCCTACAAATCCTCCCATTTCCAGGAAATGAAGTTCTTTTTCTCTATATTAAGAGAATAATGCACAAAGCCGAACTCATTCCTCCATCGCACCATCCTTGGCTGATAGTTCTTCATTCCACATCTGAAATACCTGGTGGCGAGGTGATGCCACCTTATTGACTTTTCGCTACCCGCATAACCTTCAATGCTTTTCATTGTATGCGCGGGTTTTAGCCTTGGTTACCTTTTTCAGGAACTGATGAGCATCTACTTTCTGGTAAATCTCATCTTCTACTTCCACGAGGACGATCCGTTTGCCTCCCTCTATCTGAGAAACATTCCTACAACCTATCCACATCCCCTTCAAAGCATCCACTTAGCCGCCGTCGGTGGCGCCATAAACATCTGCCTCCACATCTCCTGTGTGCTCATTCTACTTGGACGGAAACCGCTCCGTCAAAATGACCTCAGTAGAACGGCTATCATGCGCATGTTCGTCGCTAGTACTTACCAGTTTTGGTGCAGTCTAACAGCTTGTTTCACCTGTCTAACTGGAGTCGTCATTTGGAGGCGTGTTTTTAGTTCCACACTGCGAACAATACTCTCCTGCACGTATAAGGGAAGTTGTACATCCAAGCAAAATATTGTGACCCCGTGGGAGGCGATCGTTCGCCTGAATTTGGAGTGGGAAAGGTGCCTAGGCATTCAAACATTCCATAATACCTCAATTACTAGAAAGTTTGACACTATTATGGCTGCTTTTGCATCGAGCGGCCACGCCATATCTCAGTGTATCGAGTCACAGTATCAACTTAACGTTGTTAGTGCCCTATCCAACTACATACTCAACTGTTGTTTATGCATAATAGTAAATATAATGCAAATGGTATACCTTGGGGTAATGTACACCTCAAAAAGAGCTAAAGTTCGACCAAATAACATATCTACCATACAAGGATCCTCGGATAATGAAACCAGCGGTGGTGATGTACTCGGCACTGCAAATACGAGAGCGCGACGGACTGAAGATGAAAGTGAACAGTCACAGCAATCATCTAGACAACTAACTCTAACCCCGAGGAGTATCAAACGGCTTTCTACAAAGCGCACATCTTCCTGGAGCGAGAGCTCCTTCTTCCAGCAAATGCACAAGAGCCGACACTCCAATCCAACGTCTGATCAGAAGTCCCATAAAGATGTGACTGAACGAAGTAGGATCTAAAAATATATCCACAAATCCATTTAAACAAAGACAAGACAAATTTTGTTATAATCACCGTGATTCTGTACACCAGAGCTGGACACGCCTCAAGTTAAATCTAAGAGAGCATTAAAATTGAAATGTCGCGATTCTGAAGGTGTTTTCCTCTTAGAAGTCGGTTGATCTTCGCTCTGTTCACCATTGGGGGGGGCGGAAGAGCACGAGTGTGCATCACCATTTTCGTGAGGCCTTTTAAAAGTCCGTTTTGCTGGGACAAAATCATTAAGCAGATCCATACGAGATGCAAAGGCTAGGGAGGCGATAGCGTTGGATAGGGGACAAGCGAACGAGGGTTTCGGGGGAGAGTCCATCTCGGCTGGGCATTCAGGTCTCATTGTAGCGATCCAACTCATTTTGTAAGCGAAAGAAAGGGCTTGAAAATGCGACCTCAGCGACGGTTCCAAGGCGTTCAGGGGTTTGAAAGGGGAGTTTATCAGTTGAACTAAGGGTAAATCTGCGCAAGCATGTCTCCCGCTGGGCGTCCCAATGAGCTCTGCTTGTCGGTAGGTGAGGATGTAGACAATCGACTCAAACACCGTATAAAATAGTGTGTGCTCTTGAAGCATCACCTTGAGATGTGATGATAACCGGCCTCTCCTAAAGTAAGTATACTCTACGCACCATGCAGCCAAATCGTGCAGTTGTTCGATAACAACCTCTGTGGTACAATGACGAGATAGCGCTAAGTAGTCGGCCAGATGCCGCATACATCGAGTCCGCACCTCAACCGGCTGTCTTGTATCATTGACAAATTTCCACAACTTCTCCACCAGATTAACAACCAGGCCTGCTCGGAGACCTGACATGAAGATGAGCAGTAGAGGATAAGCCACAAAGTCTGCTTGGATAGGTAGAACAAACTGAAGAAAACGAGTGCGAAGACTCTGAAACACAGCACACATTTGAACCCATTCCTGTTTTTTCGCAGCCTTATCCAGTGCTGGCTCTTTCTTTTTTGGGAATATTTTCAACAAACTCACAGCTAGCAACCAGAACACTGGAGCCAAAGAAGGGAACTTATCAGTAAGAGAGTTCGAAATTACCCTTTTGTTTTCCTCAAGTTCATCGGGATTAAATGGATCGCTCAGTTTAGAAAAGAGTGACTCTATATCAGAAGAAAATAAGGCTATGGGTTCTGTGTTAGTTTCAATATCAGACAAGAGATTGAAGCAGACACAAAGCAATTGTTGGATAGAGGTATCGGAGAATAACCGCGATGAGCCATAACACAGTTTAAGAACGTTTGCCAGGGCGGTGAATAACTGAGGTGCAGGTCTACCCCAGCCTGAAATCTTCCGGCACAGACAATCGATGAAGAGGCCTTCGAATTGTGGCATAGAAGCGAAGAATTCACGTAGGGCAATGATGCTTAATTCCACGATATCAGCACTATTGTCTGAAGATAGATAGGAGAGGGGAGAGCAGATAACGTTACAAAGGTGAGAGAGCAAATGCTGCGCAAAGCCATCGAGGCGGGTAGCTATATTGACAAGGAACAGAAGACATTTGTTAGAAGTTGTGGGATTAAAAGAGTACCACGGTTTAGAATGATAAAGAATGTTGCATATGATGTTCGCGAGACTCTCAGAAAATTGATCACTATGACGAAGGCAGTCATCCATGAATGTTTCGACATCAATGGAGGACTCGTCAGCCAGCGTTAGTCTATTAATGAAAAAGTCCATCTTCCTAGTTTCGCCACGATCATACTCCGATATTGCCTGTAAAAGGTCATCCGGCTTGTCTTCCATTATGATGCCTAAAAAGAGTAACACATTTTATGTAGCCAAATCATTTGTGAAGGCAAGGTCCACTACCAGTGTGGAGGACACCAGCGCATGACTAAAAGTAGAAGACAGTAATAGGAAGTTCTGATGTGTAAGATCATTATCTCCGACCAAATGTGAAATCACTGTTACTAGCTACAAATTTTGAACTATACTATGCAACCACTCGCATGAACACCTCAGGCATCATACGTACGGTTAAAAAGCGTGACAGAGACTATTGCACCACGGGCCACAGCTGTGAAGCACCTCAATTACCAATCAAATGAGAGGTTTATGACCTACAAAACCTTTTGCATGTTTGTATACTGAGCATCTAAACGGTAAAAACGGAAAGCACATAATTGAATTACTTGTTTTCGGAAGATTTATGAAAAATGGCAACCCATGGGAGAGAACGTGGGAAGTAGGTATGGCAATAATATCAACAATCTGATCTTTAAATACCCAAATGTACGCAAGAAATTACTTGTTTTGTTATTTGGAGACATAAGAATCATCTGGGTTTTCGTTTACTTTTCTTAAACGCATCACAGTTAAGGCGAAACTCTTTTTTCAAAGTATGATAAATTTGGTTAATCCTTACGGTATTATGGCTTTAGGTGCTTCTTGATGTGAGTTAATATTAAAAAATGGCAGCTGTCCAGATATGCTTAGCTTATTTATTGGTCGAGCTGATTTGCCTTTTGAACCTTGTTGGCGTTTTAGCCTAGGACCCGACTATGAATTCATCTCGCTTACTCCTACGAAAGGCGGAGTTTCTTAAGGTAATTAGAGGTATTAGGGATTTTTACCTCTTGTGTCTTCTAGTCCAGACATGACAGCAGCGATTTACAGCTTTGCTTATTTTTATTTCATTGGTTTAATTAGCATTTCAGGCTCCATTGATTGCGCTTGACATTAATGTACGATTTTGAAGTAGCTGTTTGCAGTCTTATTACACGCAAGGTTTTTTTGAACAGAATAAATATTTTTGATCATGCTCCATCTCACTCAACTTTAGTTCGCGGCTTCCGCACGCAACTACAGGACACCGATTAACACGGGCATCCTATTTGTGCCAGAGCGCCAAGCATGGATAGTAGAGCGCCTAGGAAAGTTTCATGCTGTTCTCAGTCCAGTGAGTGCTAAGTCATATTTGTTTGATTTAAGTGCTTGGTATAGGGTTTGAACTTTTGCATTCCGTTTGTGGACAGAATCGCCTACGTTCAGTCACTCAAAGAAATTGCCATTGACATTCCTGACCAAGCAGCCATTACATCAGGTGTGGTACTTGAGTTCATGACTGTACTTACGCTAATGCTTGTGCTGATATCCTGTTCGTTTTCTACTTTGTAGACAACGTTGTGTTACAGCTGAATGGAGTCCTCTTTCTTAAGGTGATGGATCCCTACAAAGCCTCATATGGGGTTGAAGATGCAGAATTCGCAATTACACAGGTAACCAGTAAGCTCAGACTTCTTGTTTTCAATCATTTTTTCTGAAATACCGTAACGAAATCCGCTATCCCCCACTCCGGTTAGAAGAATTGGAGCTATCGTCTTTGAAGTCTCACTCTACTGCGATGTTTTTCAGCTGGCCCAAACGACAATGCGATCGGAGATTGGCAAAATTCCCCTCGACAACGTGTTTAAGGAGCGTGAGGCATTGAACTACAGCATTGTGAGAGCCATCTGCAAAGCCTCTGAGCCTTGGGGTATTGAGTGTCTTCGCTACGAAATACGTAAGCCCCTTTTGGTTTGGTTTTTATGTACAGTGTCTTTTTGACATTAACTGACATTGTGATCCTATTTTCTATGCGCCCAGTTAAGCGCCGACATAGTTGATAGAGATCGTACATGGAATAGCTTCCCGATTTATCCGACCATCAGCCTGAAGACCTGTGATTTTTTTAGTATTTACTGGATTGACCGAATTTGCCACGGGTTTGCATTTAGGTTGGACTATGGGCGTGTATGGATAATTCGTGTACCCAATGGCGAAAAATTTTGCACGGTTTTCCGTAGATCTTACAATCTTTTATTGTGCATTATAAAGCATAGACATTCGTCCGTCTATCAGGATGGTAATCTTTACTGTAGCCCACTTTTCTCCTCTCACGTTGATTTCTCGTATTGCAGTGTCGGCTGCGCCTGATAGGTGTGATTTGAGCTCACTTAAGTTTTCACTTGAATTGGAGATGGTTACGAAACCTACGAGGGAAGTGTGACTAAGAAGAATAGGCTTGACTCATCCTAGATAGCCCATCTGGAGTGTTCGTCCAATATGGAGTGTCAAATTATAACACGGCTGTATTTGTAGAACGGACTCAGCGTGCTGGCGAAGTCTTGTAATGGGTCCAGGAGTAGTAGAACTGATACCATTGGATCGTTTTGTGAAAAAGGAGAATTGCAGTTTAAGAGGTCAAGGGAAAGTTGAACTTTTGTGTTGCACGTCCCTATGTGTTAGTTTATGACAGTTGTGGTTTATTCTTTACACATGGATTACTACATTATTGTTAATAATTGTAAACTGCACATCTGTGATGAATTGCCACAACAAATTACCGGTTCAAAGCCTGAAGGCGGGCCCTTTCTTATGGAGGTAACTGCTGAACTTGGTTCGTAACCGATACCTGGTAGTGTGCACCCTTCATGAGCCACACCTCGTTTAATCTCCTCAATAGCAATGCATCAGACAGAAAAGGCACTAGCGGCACCAATTTATTTAGAATGGATCGGAGCAGGTGATACACTAATTTCAATGCCCAATATTTATTCCTCTTTTCATTCATTTGCTTCATTCACTCATTACACCGAACAACTGGGAGCCAGGGCAATTTGTGCGCTGCTCACCCTCGGAAGCAGAAGCCTTGACATGGTGTGGCAGTTCATTGGACTTGTACGGGCTGCTAATATCAGATTCTCGGCCAGCTTTTGACTCTTTCCCAGCCCTAACAAACTTATTTTTCATCTAGGAATCAAAATACTTTACCTAACGACGTACATTGTTATGGGAAACTGACTGGAAGATAGCGGGTTAATTCATTCGACTATGTGTGTGACTCCATAGGTAGCATCCAGCTGCCGATAAACGTCGTACTCACTTCTCGGAGTAAAAGCATTCTATCTTACTCCCCGAAGTCTTCGATTTGTCTAATGAGGTGTGCGCACTCGTGCTTTTGCTTGCAGGTGATATCCAACTCCCGGCAAAGATTAAGGACGCAATGCAAATGCAGGTGGAGGCGGACCGACGAAAGCGTGCGGCTATTCTCGAATCTGAGGGGCAGCGCGATGCCGAAATCAATAGGGCGGAGGGCGTTAAACAACGTCAGATTCTTTCTTCCGAGGGTCAGCGTGTGGAGACGATTAACAAGGCTGCTGGTGAGTTCTTACTATCCTCTCACTCACTTTTATTCACTTCGCTCCGGGTCGTTCCTGAAGACGAAAAAAGCCATAATACTAGGGCAGAATATGTATTGCCGAGTACGAAGGGGCTGACGAGCTACCAGCACGGCCTGGAGGACATTCCGCCCAGCCTCTTGTCTTCTTACTTTGATTACTTGACCTTCGCCTTTCGATTTTACTAAGGTGAAGCCGAAGCGATCATGCGACTGGCCGAATCTCGTGCGGACGCCGTCAGAGTAATCGCCAGTGCTATCGCTGGAGAGGTAATTGACGCTTTTTAACATCATCCTTTCTCCCTCCTCTTTGCCAATTTTGCACTTATGAGTCGTGACTGGACCTCCTCGTGCTTCCTATTTTCGGGTATTTTTCGGTCAGTATCCGGTGATCCTGCTTTAAAGTTGAGGTGTCAATTAGGGACTCCAGGATTGCGGCGTTTTGTAAAACCTTGTCTTTGTGACCTTAGTGGTGGTGGTAGTAGCACAGATTAAACTTGACTACCTCTAGCAGAATGACCATTAATCTGTTAGACGAGCCCCAATTAGGATATGGTTGGTCCCTTTTTTAAAAAATGTTGATGAGTGCTGATGACGGTAAACTCTAACTGTTGTGGGAAGCCTTTTTGGTTCCAATAGGACGAATGGCCTTTTTTTAATTTCAATGTTATTGTTTTCCTCCCACCTTTTGAATGTGTAGAATGGAGTCGACGCAGTTCAAATGGCAATCGCGGAGCGCTACATTGACGCGTTCAGCAAGCTGGCGAAGACCAACAACACCATGCTTTTGCCCACGGAGACTGGAGATGTCTCGACAATGGTGGCCAAGGTGAGGCCTGCATTCAGTTATCTCTGTCTATCTGCTTATTCATTGGTTTACCATTAGACTGGCTTCATCTAACCATAAAGCTATCCGTCCATCACAGATACATTTATTTCTTCGCCTAATGGATGCTGAAGGACTACAGGCGTTTTCTCTCTCGGTTTACTGTAGGCTTTAGCGATTTTCAAATCAGTCAACACGGAGAAGGCTGTGGATGAGACGCCAACGGTTTCCAGGCCAGTACTACCATCAAAGGTCTATTCCAAGAAGCCGAGTGATGTCAAGGGTGACAATTAACTTGTAAAATGACGAACAAGATTGCTAATCACTGCAAAATACCATTGAACTATCAATAAATTGTTCTGCTCTTTTCACTATGTTCCCTTTTTTGCTTTATTGAAGGTTGTTTGCAAAAAAGGGGGGATGGGAAGCGGCCCACTCTTCCCCGTGGGTTAATGTCGGACCTTTTATTTTTAAAGCATAGGCAGCTGACATCGACTCTGGAAAGATTTGCGCTTAAGCACGAACGGTCAAAGCGGGCGTCATTTAAGCGCGTTGGCTCCGTCTCGTCGTGACCGCCATGTCTTGACGCCCCTTGCGACTACCCTTCTGCGTCGAGCGGTGCGTCTGTATTCAAGTGAATTGAGCTGAACTGCGAGACAGAAGCAAAGCTCGTGCTATGATTTTTTGCCACAAGGAAAGGGCTTTTGAATCCGGTGATATTGACGCTTTGCTGAGACTTCGATAGGGGTTATTCCAAAGCACGTTGGTTCATGCGATTTCGGTATACATCATACATAGAGTTGAAGTTTAAATAGTAGGAAGTCCTAAGCTACTTGCCACGACCAATCATGGGTATGCGTCATGCTGCCAGTACGATGCTCTCGATTCTTTGCTCTCTACCCTTTTCTGTCGGCTCGAGACCATTTCATTACGGAAGGTCGATTGAATGGCCCTAGTGGATATACCTTGAGCCTGTCTGCGTGACGGAAAGACTAAGGTGTGGAGGCTTTTCTCTGATATTCAGTGTGGGTAATGCGGCGGTTCGTCTACACTGACATTGGTAAAGAAAAAAAGGTCATAGATGCAGGTGTATTCTAGATGCTTCCACAAAAGAACACGCTCCCGGGAAAGGCACGAATTCATTCCAAGGATATTTGGATAAAATGACTTGCCAGAAATCGTTTACTTACTGGGTCCAACTTGGAATTGGCTAGAAGAGGGTCCTATTCTTGCTCTTGCACGGTGACACAAGACCTCATACCACCAAGAAAATTGGCCTTAGGAAGATGTCAAATTTTGGGTGGTATGGGTGGGAGATGCTGCCCCCTTCTTATCCCTCCATTGTACTCTCCTCTTCTAGGTGATTGCGTACTTTTCTGAGTATTCTACAACCACATGGGAGGTAGAGCGGCCAGCTGTGAAAATGCAAGGCGAGATGGAAACGGCGCTTGTGCTGTCTAGTTGATAAAGAATGGCCGATTGTGATGGTGAGTAGTCCAACGACTAGTGCTAAAGAATGCAAGAGTATTTCATTGTGCACGCGTTCTGCATGCCAGATGCTGACAAAGAATACTGACAAACAAGTTAATCCACCAATTGGAACTAGTG